TTGTTCATTCACTCACTACTGAAATTGCTGCTCAACAGGGACATATATTTATGGGAAAAAAGAGAAGTTTTAAAAATGTTTTTAAAGCCTTCCAAAAAGACATTTAATCGCTTGTTTTCCCTCACCTGTGCCACAACAGCCAAGTAATATATTTCTTAAAGTTCAAAAATATTCTCAGTAAAGCTTACATAAAATAAGACATTTTTCTGCCACTCACACCTTTTTGCTCATGTTGGATATATTTGAGCTTGTGCAACACAGGCATAACAAATTGAGTTGAGGGTTTGAGTAAATGCAGCTAAATAAGCGTGGGTGTGTGTGTGCATGTTTTGCTGTGGGTTTGTCCTGAGGCTTCTCACTCCCCTGTGTTCATACTACGGAGAGACCCCCATGGCAACCTCCAGTCTGTGCCAGTACCTACATGTAATTTGATTTCAAAAGATACTAGATACACATAGTCAAATGCTAAGTGTACAGATATAGAGAAGCGCACTCTTGACTTTTGCCTTGACGAGACTATTATGAAATAAAAATGATGGAGTTTACTGAGCAAGTTTGAAAGCTTGCAATTGACAAGTGTTACCAGTAGCATTGCACTCTCAAGGCCACACATGTATACATTGCATGAACTTTAAACCAGTTTTTTTTTAAATTGAGTTTATTCATTTATAATGTGCATATTTCATTCAATTATGTTGTGCAGCAAAGACATTAAACTACAATATGGTCGGAAGCTGTCTTGAAAATAGTGCTGTGGAAACCTCCAATTGTAAACCTGTTGTATCAACTTTTGTTCTGTCAAGGGTTTTGACCAGTGTCTCTGCAGGAATCTAAAGGTACATGCACAATGCATATTCCTTGCATTTATGTAGTAGAGATTAGGGTCTCAAGTCCCACATTAAGCAATCCTCACCAGGCCTCTGTTGTGCTCCCAGAGTCATCAAACAGAAGCAAACTTGGTGTCTACCTCGGGCAGATTTGAGATGACTTACAATTATAAGTGAACCAGGGATAGTATGTTCTGTGTTTCACTGTGACTGTGACTGTGATAATCTAGAAAGAGCTATGTATAAAAATTCAGTAGCTGTGCACCGTGTCTGACCATTTCCAAAAGCCTTGCCCAAGCAAGCTTGGAGCTAAAGAACTCCATCTCATTCAAACTGCAAAACTTCATCTGTTTCAACCCACCAAGTTTCTCTAATTCTGACTATCTCTCCTTTTTTTCTCTGCAGAATTATCAGTCGGCAAAGCTGCACTATATGACCACCAAGATGAGACCCATTGCCCCCCACACATGGCATCAAAAGTGGTGCACGGTCTGCATCAGTCAACATCCTTTTCGTGCCCCAACATGAAGCTGTTGTGCAGTGGGCCAGCCTTACAGTACAAGCACCTCACTTTGCACATTTTTTTTTCCGTCCAGTCTGGTCACAAACTGAGAAGCATGTGGTGCAGATCCTTTAAGTGTGCCGATTGGCACCTTGACGGCATATTCTCTGGGCATTTAATAAACAGCAGTCCAGGCCAGGTTTCAAGTCACGTGAGGCTAACATTCCGAGAATTGTGGAAGTAGATTAGGCCAAGGAATGTATTTGTGAAAATGTCAGAGTGCAGCTCTTACTTCTTCCTTCACAGGCTACAATTTCGCACAAGGCGTCAGTGCGCAATCCTACACATAGAAACCCTACAGGTTTTGGGGGGGTCATTTACACTTTTTAAAATTTCCAGAAGTCACTTTTTTAAGATGGAAGATGACCTTTGACTCTGTTCATCAAAGAACCTAAATTAAGAAGCTTCATAAAGGATAAAATTCTAGATTCCTATTTGTGTCCACAAATTGTAATGGTTTTTTCAAGTTAGTGGAATTGTATACTGTTTTGTGAGCACAGTTTGATGGCAACAGAAAAAGGTGTTTTATTTTCTTTTGTTCTATTGGAGTTACTGTTAAGATGCATTCCAGCTGTGTGGCATTTGTAAGGCTATTTCCTTTGGTTAATGATCAGTCACCCTTCAGCATGCAGGATATGTCAAGCACCATGATTGTCTTAAAACCCAGTGTGTGTGTATCTGCATGCATGAATTTTAAAGCATGTGTGGGTGTCATTTGTCCCAAAATGGACTACGAGTGAAACCCAATATACAGGACAGTCAAAATGAAATTTAACTGGATCGTGGCAAACAAGCAGGGGGAAAAAAATCCAGTCTGTCTAGTTCTTCCGTCCCCTTTATTCAAATTGTAATAAAAGGCCAGGTGACATACATCTTTTTTCAGTGGTTGAAACAGTGGCTATCACACATTTCTAAGGACTTGCTTGGAAATATTTGATTCAGGCCAGCAAGGATATTTGACCTTTTTGAGGCACAGCCTGCGTGTCTGGCTTCGCTAAAGGACTTAACTTTGGAGGGCCTGATGTTTCAATCCTAGCAGAATCTTTCTCGGAACTTTGAGACAGATTCTGCAAGGATCAAAACATCAGGCCCTCCGTATACATGTGATTTGTATTTTAGATCACTGTAGTCAGCAAACAGTTTATATCAGTTTTGTATTACATATCTCCGGGACTCAACTTTACATAGATATTGCATCCCCACCCAGCGTCATGCATATTTCCATGTACTTTAAAAGTGGTCATTATTTCAGGATGCGCTAGTTAATTTCCATGATAGTTGAGCTGATTTTAAATTCACTGCCCCGTGCAAACTGTAAAATGCTGTACACAATTTTGTGCAGAGTGAAATTTCCTCTGATGAAATATTTTTCTGACTTTCACATTGGTTTTTTAGAAGACGCTGTTACAAATGTTATCCAAATTAAGTTTTCTTTGTTTTTAGAAATAACCACATAAGTTTGTGGCTGTGTGTCACATTCAGTATTTTGCATTCATCCCAGTTTTTATTCAGCAATCTCAAACTGTCTTCTTTGTGTACAAAGTTATAATGGGTGGGAGTTTTGCAGTACAAGCATTACAGAAAATGTTCACAGTTTTTACCTTCTTGGTGAACTGTAACCCTGAAATGGCGTGCATGACTGTAATGCATGGCTTAAATGTCGAATGCGTATTTGAATCCCATGACAGGCCATGCATAAATTTGTACATTTTCAAAACACAACTGGCATTTCCAAGGACGGGCATTATGCTGTCTGACTGCGCTTTGGCCATAATCAGATTGCGGTACTGAGTGTTTTGATTGTGCAACTGGGGAACTTGATGGAAAGCACGAGGAGTTTGTGCAGATCTCCATTATCTGGACTTCCTTCAAAATTACAGAAAAGAGCGACTGGTGCAGAAGCTTAGGCATCCATCTGTATAGGTTTGGTGTACATTGTTTGATCTGTTTCTGGATGTGATTTTTGGTCAAATTGCAAACAAAATATGTGTGATAAAAATAAAAGAAAATTCGTAAATTAATTGAAAATAAACTTACGTTGAGAGAATAACTGACCATGTACTGTGATGGTCTGTTGAAAGAAAGATGATTTCTTTTTTTAATGTTAAGAAACATGTAGATGCAGCCGCAAAATGCCTACTTCCCACTGGCAGACTGTACCTTGTGGGACCCCCTCCCCCAGCCAATCCATAATTCGCCTCTGCTGACCGGAGTAACATGTAGTATATGTATACGTAGTCCATAACTTTCATTAGTTTTCACAGGGTAAAGTCTGAGAAGGGTATTTTTCAGAGGCGAGTGTGACGTCACTTCAGTTTAAACCACGCCCACTGTACATAGGGTCACATGGAACCATGGAGCCAGAAGGTAACACACAAGTTGAGTGCTCATCTAAGGGGAGCTTGTAGTCAGTGGTGTGTGTGGGTACTTGACAGTCACAAACTGGATGTCATATTCAGCAAAGGTTATGTTTGGAGCAGCCCTGTAAATAAATAGGATTGTTAAGCACCTTTGTCTGTGCAGGCCTTCAGGTGCTTTAACAAATGGGACATGTAAGAGATCGTGTTTCTTGCATTCTGATGTTTAAATAAGCAAAGGTCAGATCATATTTAATTATGTCGCGAGAACAATAACATTAGCGGTATGTTTGGTTTTAGCTCTTCATTTTCTGCAGCATATTTGCCCTGATGAAAGAAAAAAAAATGGAAATTTCCATGAATTAAGGGAAAAGATGTTTTTTGTGGGAGGGGGTTGGATAATTGAAACAAAAATACCCAAGATAGATTAGCCATACCTGTTGGTTGAGAGTCTGTCACATGGTTGGTCTAAACAATTGATAAAGCACTGTCTAACTGTATGCCAACTGATGCAGAACATGCCACATGTGCACTTATCTTCTTATAGGGAGATTGTTTATGACTTTTCATGAGAAGAACATATCATAACATAGGCAGAGGGTTGTTGGAAAAAACTTAGTCACAGGTACAGTCTTAAAAACTGATCTGGTCTCAAATGTTTAAGACAGCCCAAAGGCGTGCATGTACTTATTCCTTTATTAACCCCAACCCCCAAGGGTGCGAGTAAAATCATATTGAAATTAAATGAATGAGGAATATACTGGTAAGGCTTAAGGGGCCTCTGATCTGTGCACGTTTAATACTTCCAACAACACTTAGAAATTTTGAATTACATGTAGTTTGTCCAAGATCCAAGGAAAAACCTTTCTTTTTTTTTTGCTGTTACCAAAACGGATTATTGGTCCTCAGCAACAACCAGTCAAACCCGGTTTATTGTAACCAAAATGTGCTACTAATAAGCACCAGCAACGACCAATCATACATGGTGAAACTGTAACTGTAAATATGCTCATGACCCTTGGCAACCAGATGGACAAAGTTTACTGCACCGCCAGAGGAGGGCACAGTGTTTCCTATTCTTTCAAAAGTTTACACTAACCACAGCCACCTGCTTCCGAGGAGAGTAACCTGGCACAGAGGACAGGAAAACGTCCTTTCTTCCTTTAATAGTTTTGTGTGCTCTAGTCCTCTATGGTAAAGTAAAACATGTAACTAAACACGACACCAAAAGCAGAAAAACAGGGAAAACACTCCTTTGTTCACCAATTTTTATTAAGGTTCGCACAAAGAGCTCAAAATGTGAAAGGGTTCTGAAGATTAACCAAAACGAAATACCTAAAAATACCATACGAAAATGGCTTCACTTTTCCTTGTCAAAATTATGAACTCCTGAAACAATAAAATATATAGACAAAAATAACTGTACACTGTAACAGAAAAGATATACATGCGTTTAAGATCTATTACGAATTCTTATAAGCACACAAAATATGACAATTTTTTCTTAAGATGTTTCATAGAAAATGCTGAGAAAAATGTTTAAAAAGATTATCAATGAAAACTATACTCTGATGTAAATCTTTCTTACAATTTTGTTTGAACTATTAATTTATATAGACAAAAAAGGAAAAATAACATCCAAACAAAAATATGGAATGCATTATATAAACAAGTCCCACCCAAAACTCAAAGTCATCATTTTTTCCCAAAAAGTAAACATGGTGTTTGTCCTTACATGCCTCAAAACAATAGAAACTTTGGTATGATTTTCTTTTACTGAACAACTGATTTTCAAAAAACCCTTATTTAGAAGAAAATTGGGTTACAGCTGGCCATACGAATGTCGCATTGATAAACGCAATACAGTGTCCTATAAAAACTACTTTCCAAAACGAAGCTAGAAAAAATGCATGCAGTGGCAAAAATTCTTTTAAAAGAAAACAGCAATGATCGAAAAGGACTTTTACAAAGTTACAAATAATGCCTCAGCTTTTCAAAAGTGGCTTGACAAGTCTTGTTTAATTCAAGTCACAAAAATGGTGGTTAACAGGTTTTTGTTTTTCAAAAAAAAGGAAAAGTACAAATTGTGTTTGTGTTCAATGGTGCAGAAAGTTTTCCAAGCCAACAATTTTGCCCTCCACTACAAACAGATATTACATTTCACCTACTATAATCACAATTTCAGTTGTCACCCTTGAAATTTAGATTACAAATTACTATAAATACACGCTTTAATTTTACAAAACTGAATTTGAATATGCTGGAGGAAAATCTGGGATTTTTTTTTTTTTTTACTACTACAAAATTTAAATAGCAAAACAAATCGAACACATGTGCTACATCTCTGATGCGGCAAGCTATGGTCATCAAACACATTCAATTGCTTATTTCTATTTCATATAACAATGATCCATTAGAAAACAACACTTCAAAATATAATCAATTTGATTAAACGACATCTCGTTTCAAGTCAAGAAAAAAAAAGAGACTTACAAAAAAGCCAAAGCAAAACAGTATAAAGGAAAGGAGAAGAACTGGGTTTATACATATCACAAAGGCCAAGCGAGATTGCATTGCATCAGGAATTATGAACAATCACTATTAATTCCAACTGGAGTTGACAGTAATGTTGGGATCCATCAAATTTTCACTTGGTCCACAGGAATACACGTGAGTGTCAAGATGTGTCCACAAGACCGTTAAGATAGAGACTTTCTAGAGACTAGATAACTATAATTTTTGACACTGCTTTGGACATTTTCTGACCACTGCAGTCTCTTGCTCTTAGGATGCAAAGCTTGACTTTGGTCACGTTTTGTGGATCGGTGACTTTTGCAAGTGTAGAAAGCAGTGCAATCACTGACTTTTGTGGAGTTTCAAAACCTGACAAATTGGTTACATCTTCTCTACAGACTGACCACACTGAAGTGTTTAGGTTTTGGTAAAAGAATCTGCATAAATGCACTCAATCTCTTCTCTGACACAATTTACATGTTTCTGTGTCAGATATATGTCAGCACTGCAAATGTCGAATTCTGACAATGAGAAACAGAGGGTTCTATTTTAAGATTCTGAATGCACCACACTGCATTATCATCCATTTTCCCCATTCAATCAAAAGCAGGTCTGATTGCTACATCTTTTAAACAGCAATTTGTGAATCAGGGCTTATGGTGCACATAACAACTATCCTTTCAAAGTTGGAAATACGAACAGGCTACATATCTTTTGGCAATCAAACTTTTCAAATGCAGGCAATATGTAACAACACGAGTTGTGGCATTCTTTAAATACAATGCAAAAAACTGGGAGGAGATTCCTCAAAGTGACAACGATTTTCTTTCTTTACTCAAGATTTTTCTAAGATGTTACACACTCAAACAAATGACTGCAGTTAATATTGAGGGTATGTTTTCTACATAAATAGAGCACTCAGTATTACAGTGTGAGCAAAGATCGGTGATTAACCATTTTTCTATTGTAATATTGAGAATTATTATTTTATTGTCCCTCTGAAACTACACCTAACTGAAGCATGGCATTGACTCTTCTATGGAGGCCCAATCATAAATGTCTTACTGATACAGAGGATCTAAAGAATAAAAAAAACAATAAATACAAATCAAATCGTGCCTGGCACTCTGTGAAAGAGAGACTTCTGTTTCACTTACATGTAAATAGGATTGTACAGGTGTAATAAATTAAGTTAGAAATTGAACAGAAAAATAAACTTTTTTGTGTGTCTCCAAACCGTACACTATGGGTCGTTGGTTCAAACTGCAAACACATGAGCTGAGGTATTTTTATTACAGCTAACCAAAAAAACCACCAAAAAGAATCAACCAATTTTCTAAGAATCTACCGGTTCAAAACATTCATACGAAAAATTAAAAAAATAAAGTCAGATGGTCAAGCTTCAACCAATCTGTCTATCAAGCCATCATGCATTGAATACAGATTACACTCCTAAAAAAAATCAATTAAATATTGCACTGGGAAAAAAATGATTTTTTTCAAGCCCTGTTCAGGACTCCATCCACATACCAAAGACTTCTGAGTCCTTAATTAACTTATAATCGTCTAGTTTATCCACACAAAGTACATCCTCTGTTTTGATAATAAACAATGTAGCACCATTAACCTGACAGTATCTACCAAGACTTGACTAAAGAGACAAGTACAACATCCCTCTACAACATTCCGGGGGGGTAGCTAAAATATTGGAGACGAAATAAAATCTAAAATGGCGCTGAATAAAAACCACACTGAGCAAACAAAGCGTATAAAGGTGGAATACAATCCCAGAGTCAATCAAATCCATTACAAACCTTTCCAAAACAAAACAAAACATAATGAGATGAAAACTGTATGTTACAAGAATGAGCAGCCTTAACTCCAAAAACTGGCCACCCCTTTGCATTTAGGAAATGAAAATGCTCAACAAGCATGAAAAATCCGGATAAGTCTCATCATGTGCACAGTGAGAGCATTAATATCAGTAATTCCAAAAACTATACGACGATTTTTGTCCTATTTCCCGAATTAGTCCAATTGCAAAAAAAAAATTTATAAATTATTATAATACATACATGTAACTATCAAATTTCAGGTAACACAAACTCACAAAATCAAACCTTGCCTTTCGGTTGTTTAACCCAGTGACAAACAAAATATAGCAAGACTGTGCAGACAGCTTTGCCTGAATATTAAACAGGCACATAAATGATCTCAAAGAATGAATAATTACCTGTAAATATGAAAATTATTTTTTTATAAAAAATTCTAGAGTGAAAATGGCATCTATGGCATTTTTTTCTTGTAATAATCCTCAGTAAAAAATACTGCACCCAGAGTATGAAATGGGCCAAATGAATATTAACTTCTTGATATGATTTTTTTATAAAGCTCATATTTTTCATTCTTTTTTAAAAATGCTTCTAAGAATAGATACAAAAGCAAAAAATCTAAAAAGTCTCCCACATCAATTTTTTTACAGTCACACATGCACTTCAACTCATGTCTAGGTCTTAACCTTTGAGAATTTTATGTCATAAATAAATTACAAATGGAAACATTTGTGTGGATAAATGCTAAATTTCAATGCTCTGTGAAAATTGAAAAAAACTGTAGTAATACCAGGCAAGTGCCCATCAAAGCCAATATTTAAGACACAAGGATATTATGTGAACTGACTTACAACAAGAATGCATCAATTCTCTGCTTTTCAACAATCACAATACACCATCTAATGAAGCTATAATTCTCCAACAACAGGTCATGAATATTTTACTCCAGTACATGTACAAAGGGGAAAAAATCTACTCACTAAAACTGTGGAAAAATCTTGTTAAAAGGAATTCTGGTTTTTAAGTTAACAAGAAATATATATGCAATAAATGAGCAATGTACACTTGGTCGATTCAACACACAGAGGCAACTTTGCACAAATACTGTACTGTGAATTGATTGAAGTTGAACAAATTCTTTTTTACCTCTTAGAATTTATTAGTCGCACACAAAATCATCTTTCTACTTTGTCGTATGGACAGCAAATTTTCCCTCTTTCTATCTGGTTAACTGTTACTTGAAATTAACAGCAAACATCCATTTACTGACTGACTACAAACCAATCTATTGGTGTCAATTCATTTTTTTGTCAGTGTTTCACGTCAAACAGGGTTCACAATACTTACATCCAGTGAATACATCCGCAGGCAGAATACAGGTTCTACAATAATATTATAATCCACCTCTGCAGCAATGGTAAAAAAAACCCAAACCAACACAAATCACATGCACAAGGTATAGAGGGTATATATCTAGTAATCAAAGGTTACTACATTGTACACAACATACATGTAGAAGGAAGAATCAGAAGTGGGACATGCTTGTTCAATAATAAGATCCAGTTGTTATACACATAAATTATGTGATGCAGGCTCTTCAACTGATTTTTGGTTCACTCAAACCAATTTAAACGCAAGATTTCCGATCCAACTTCAAACAAAACGGATGCTATTTCAGTGCCACATATACATGTACCTACACATGTATGTTTCAGTGACTGCTGTGGGCCATTGCCATGAACCACAGCAACACATAAAAAAAAACATGAGAAAACATTGCACATGTGGTAATTTGACACGCCGTAACAGGATTGTCCACGGTAGACTTGTTTCCCATTAAAAAAAAAGAGAAGAAAATCTGCTTCGTATAAAAGTGTATGAATGACCCGTTTGCTCATCTAAAAAATAATATGTAATATAAAGTTCACACATGCCAAGTTGATTTATATTAGCACTTGAGATACTTCTGTACCGCCAGCATTTATATTGTCAGCTTATATAAACTGTTCTAGTACTCATACATGTACATGTACAACAACCGCACAGTAATTTCAACAATAAAAATTTGAAAAAGTGGAAGATTAAACTAGAAACTCTACAAATGTAAAAATCTAGTACAGTTCTGTTTGTGCACAATTTGGCTGTTATTATTTAGCACACGTTTTTTGTTTTAAATAGACACAGATTGCATAACATATATGCATGTTACATGTAGTTCGGGCGTCACATTCTTGATTGCACAGTAGGTATGCTTTGGTGATCTTTTAATGAAATGTAATTCTAATCTCAAGGTAACACGTTTACATGCTGCAGTGTGGATTAATTTGGGACATTGAACGTGACCTGACCTACCATGCCTATACATGTATGTGACTACAAGTTTGTCTATTTGTAAACCATGACAGTGTTTTATCTGGTTTAAGGGAAAAAATGCAAGAGCACAGCCACATACTGGTCACAACTGACTCAAAAAGAGATAGACAGCACATTTCATATCTTTAGACAGTTTAGCATCACAATGACAACTGGATACATATGTACTGTACGATTGCAAAACACAGTACGAAAACGTGCATAAAGGTTAACGACATAAAGTGTTAAGTGGCTCATCTACTGTATATTAGAAACTTCCGTTAAACAGGCACAATTTGTCTCTTTAAGTCTACTCATTTTTTACTGAGTCAGTGTTTCAGAATAAAGGAGCGTAACCAGTCTGGTATAAAGGGCTTAGAGTTGACTCAGACAGAAATGGGATTTTCAGTTAAGCCGCAAGGAAACTGACTTAGTTTGTCGTCAAAAAAGGTGTGACATTTTGCAATGGCCAAGTCTAGATCATGGTTGTTATTTCAAATCAGCATGTGTCAAATATACATGGAGGAACAAGGCTTTACGTCGAATCCAATATTTCATGAAGTATTAGCACACATCATTTTGGCATCAGATTTAAGATTAAACTATTGGGAACCGAATGCGACCTCACTACATGCCGAGACATGGGTAATCGGTAAATTGCAAGAGTAACAATTCAAAGTTTCTCAACCTACACTGTATGAACATTTTGCTACCAAATGCTAATGTGTTGAGCATCACGTGCTTTTTCAAAGAAGAAGACATAACAGAATAACTTGATTCTTTTCTCTACGCCCACAGTTTTCCAGAGTTCTGCATCTTCACGTAACTTTGAAATTTCACCAACTCCAATGAAAGCAATGGGAAAAGGCAGGACTGCATGCCAGTAGCCCTGCATACTCTGTAACAGTCTTTTTATTGTTTAATGCAGCCCTTAGAAGCTGTGAGAACAGCTCTGCTCTGAATCTCAAAGTTACGAGTTTGTGCCACATAGGGGAAAGTTGTCTGAACCAGAAATCAAACTAATACAATATGACATTACAAAAATAGTTCATTTGAAATAATTACAGGTTTAGACACATTTCCACTACAACACAAAACCACTTCTACATTTTGTAAGACCAATGCAACCGTCAAATTTATTTTAAAAAACTGTTTCACCTCAAGACCGTTGACACTAAAAGTTGTTTGCCTCGCCCCACCTATTTCTTGGGCTCCCCTGCTGGCTTCGGTAGGTCACTTACCAGCGGAACGGCACAGACCTGGGCCTGTCCCCTCCTTCCTTGACCAGGGGCTTGTGGAATTCCCGTCCAGGGCGGGCATGTATGGCAGCCCAACAAAAGTCGCAGTAGTATTGGAGGCAGGTCACATTGGCACAGAAGAAAGGGGCAAACTTGCCACCGCAGCGAACACCTTGGCACTCGTCGCACATCTGATCATCGAGGACATATGGTTTCACCTCAACCTGCATTGTTAAAGCAATTTGCATTTATATACTCCATGCACATGTACACATGTATGTATGTACAAGTACTCATCGACACAGGGATGTTTACACAATAACAAAAAACAACAGACTCCACTCTCAAAGTCGATGCTAAATTAACATAAACATGAAAACCTGGCTGTAATATCTACGCCATGTTATGACTACTCCTTAATGCAGGTTACAAATTTATGCAAACATCTGTACAAGGGCCAAATTGCAGTCTGGGGGTGCCAGTCTCATTAGTCCATGCAAATATCCCTGAGCAGCTTCATGCAATGCAATCGAGGATTATCTGCAGAGATACTGCTGGACCATACCGACCATCAAACTTGCAGCCAAATGTTACAGTGAACATGCAGTTCCACGTGCCACAATATCATGGACTGAAATTACCATGCTGGTACCGCCAAGAAATCCAGATTTATAATTTTTTTTTTCTAAACACAGTGTATTGTGAGCTTTCCAGTTTCTTGTTTAAAAATTCAAAGTGATTTCTAAAATCAGCTCATTTTTTTCCACATTTACGTGTACAATTTGTATCCAAATTAGCTTTCAAATGTTGCGATTTTTTTAATGTGAGCTCAAACCACTGTTGAGAATGGCCAATCAATTAGGCTTTCATGCAGTTACATGTGCAATGCTATCCATGTAACCTTTGTAGTAAATTTCAATGTCCATGTGAATGAACAACACAATGAATTACATGCCGGTAGCTACAGGGTGAAGCATTTCAGACAGATCAGATGATACTGCGTGGGTGGTGAGCGCATTAACATTGGTGTCCATATGGTGCAGAGGCACGAATGGGATCAAGGTTTGGCATGAGAGAAAACTGGTGTCTGTGCATAAACAAAATCCCCCGTCACACCACTCAATACATGGAGGAAAAATGTCTGTAGTGCTACATGCACATGTTATGTACATGAACAAGCACATTTACACATGAAATGCAGTTCTTACTGAATGTACACAAGTTTGAGAGAATATAATCCTACTCAAGAGACATACTTAAAAAAAATTCACATCTGAAATACAGAAATATAAAAATTCAGGCAAAGCAAGGGTAAGTTTTGTTAAGAATGGGTAAAAATGCCAATCTCTCTTCAAGAGGACATTGATTTTGTTATCACTAAAAGCATTCCTTGCCTGGCATGTGTGTATGCTCATTGCTTGATGACATGTAAGGCAATTTTTACAGCTAATTTACTGTATTGGTATGTGTACAAGGTGAAATGCATTTCAACCTAGTAGGTGCCACACTGAACGTAAGCTAAGGAGAGCAACAAAATGAACAGCTCATAGGCAAAAGCTGTAATACCTCATCGAATACTGGAAGTCTGGAATAGGCAGAACAAGAATGAATGACAAAGCCAAAAGGGGGGGTGTCTAGAGCATGTCTCTGTGACCAGATGCGTTTGTCCTTACCCTCTTGTCAATATCGCCATGCTGGAGCTGCACGAAGCGAGCGCTGATGGCGGCGATGTAGCTTTGCTGATTGGAGAAAGCCACCCGGCCGGCACCCTTGGGGTACTTCAACTCCGGGTCCGTGTCGATGCCAGCGTAGCACACCCCTCCGTACAGACGATCCATGATCATGGCCAGCTCAACTGGAAAGAGAACAAACAATCAGGTTGAAGATGTAGGACAGGCTCAGGGGTGGAAGGGGAAATTAACGTGGTACATGTATTAACAATACTACGACGTTGTCAGGGTATTTCTAAATGTCAGGCTTCAAGGTTTAAGTGATTGATCAGATTTTGGAAGGATGAGATCTGCATTACAGGGTTGCTGGCGTTTCATATTCTATCAAAGAATGAAAAAGAATCACCCATTTCTATGAATAAAACAAAAAAACTTCCATCCTTCAAATTTTGTCCAAACAACAGTGACACTATCATGTGATTGTGACATTTTACAATAACAATTCAGGGGTTATGTGTTTCCATCAATCAAAACAAAAAGCAAACAAGACATGCTTTACCAGTAAAAATCCCATATTTTCACCTATTTAAAGATAAAATGAATGGATTGCATTAAAACAAAATGTAATTCAGTATTTTTTTACAATTCTATGTTAATGATTATTATGCCAACGTAAACCTATTTTGTCACTGTATCTTGCAGGATTTCAGATGTGCTCTTTGTCAAGACAGCGTCACTTCCTTCATCACAAATAATCAGGAGGGAAGTAATCCTGTAGTAGGCTAATTTTCACAACAGTAAAGCCAGGGGTCTTTGTGAGGCGAATTTCTAATAAGTGCAGAGTGGGTGTAAGCATCTCAAGGGGCATTTCCAGAGATTTCCGAAAATTCCCCCCCTCCTCTCAAACAGCATAGTATTTCAAAATGGAAGAACCACTGATAGGTATCCTGAAGTGCTTTTAGGCAGGTAGGCATTGTTGGCACTGTAAATTAAATCAAGTACAGACAACAATTCTCGTCAGACAACTTGGGGGTGAAGGGCTGCAATTAAATTATGCGACTCGTAGGTGAACCCCCATTCACAGGTGCCAAAATGACTCAGGCCAATAAGGGAAGACCGTGGCTGTATCAGGTGGACGGAGGAAGGAAATTGCTAATTGATTTCCTATGGCTTCCACACATGTCCATATCCATTCAGGTTTTTGCTGATCGGAAAAATGCCACAGCTTGTAGGAGGGGGCGGTGGACGTACTTTGACCCATGTGGACTGGACAACAGGGACAGCAGTCTATTAGGGTGTCTAATCCATTAGACCAGTTAGACCATGAGGACAGGATGGCCAGACTGACCAATACATAAGAGATACCTTCTCAGGGTCACTGGTGGCCTGTGGAGACATTCCAGCATTAGGTTATAGATTGATCTACATGTCAGTGTAGTAACAAACTCATAAAAGAGCTGACCAGTCACAGAAATATTTTTAAATTCTGAGTCATACAGCCGAATAATTTCCCTTCCATTTTCACAATCCCTCTTCAGCTGGCCTATTTATAAACTGCACAGCTGAAACCATCATATCCACAGCAGGGCTTAAGCAGTGTAAAGATGCCTGGAGCAGAAGCACAGACACACTGAATAACCTGCGATTGGGAGGAATATGAGGAAACGTGTTCAAACACGATCCAAGAACCCCATAATCAAACTTACTCGCTCGGAGAGGCCTGGGCACTCCTCCAACGAATATTGTTTTCCTGGGGTCCAGAGGCTGCGAGCCATCCAAAACAAAGTCGCTGTCAGCAAGGTTCCAGGGGCGGATTTGGACCTAACCAAAAAGAAGAAATGTACAGAATCATGAGACCAGTAGCAATTTTGCGTGGCTTAAGAAAAGACTACTGTCTTTGACGCTCATAAATCACAGAAATTTTCATTAAATTTACATGTATGTCTGAATGCTTTCTCCCCCTTAAAACATCTTTGCACCAACAAACTGATTCCAAATTTGTACACTGTTCCATGCAGAATTTATGAAATATATGTCAATAGTGAATGGTACTGTGGGTGGAAAGTTTCTGACAGTAACCCAAGTCAAAGTCAAATCAAACTTTTCTTATCAACATGCCTTGCTTTGGGTGCAACTGCGATTGTCTGATTACAATTTACAAAATGTGTGTATACATGTTCATATACGTTGTAAATTTGAAGACATCTTCTACATAATTTGACAAAAGTGCATGAACATGTACATTATATTTACAACCACAACTATTTGTACATTCGTTAAGTATACCAGTACGTGTAAGAGCACAATCTCTCCTTTTTTTTACTGCTTATTATTATTGTTTCACCACAGTAGTATTTCAAGCAAGAAAAATCCAAAAATAGGAACACATGCAACATGTTTCAATTGAATAGAGGATCATGAAAACACTATTTTCCACGCAAGATTGTGCCTTTTTAGTAACCATGTCATACCATTACGAGTAAAAATAACCTGTGAGGCATACTTTCTCATGGAGAATATCCTTTTCAAATTATCATTCGTCCCTTCAAGAAATACTACATTAAGCACAGGCACGGCATGTATTTTTGACTGGTATTTCCTCCTTATCAGACGTACTGATGGGAGACATCCCGCATGAATCACTCAATTTGCTTCAGAAAAAACAAAGAAAAATGGAGGGAGAGAGAGAGAGACAGACAGAGAGGCCAAAGATATTCACAGGTCAACATTCCCGTTTTGCGGTGGGGGGGGGGAAATCTCATCCAAATGGGTCCTTTCCCAGAATGATAAATGAGTCTTGCATACAAGACGACTGCCTGCACCCCTGCGCCTGCATCATTATTGTGGGGTGTTGGCCTGGTCATGAAATATGCAAGGCCGGGTAGGGTTCAGGCAGGAGATTGGCTTTGGGGTGATCAGCTGGGAATCTCAACTAGCTGAGCATGATTTCAATCCTGTCAGGGAAAATTAAGGATGCCTCTTGAAAACTGGTGATGATTTGTTTGTCTTCTTAAAAGGACATGGCTCACCCCGGCGAACACTGCTTCACAAAATACGAGCACCTTATAATGTATAAGTAGTGCTTTTTCAAAAGTACAAGGAATAAACAATACAGGTTTCCTTGTATTTTTTTATTTTTTTTTTAATCTAATACAAATTTGTGAATTTTGTTTGAAAACATTCAATGACATCAGATGCAATGCCTGTATCACACAAAAAACTCTTTTGTATTGATTCCAACACACAATAACTGTCAATATTTCTGTATTTCATTGACTATGCCACATACAAGCCATACCAAGGGTTTCACAATAAAGGTTTTGGGCGGTCATTCACACCAAAGTCATTTCTCCAGTCAAATTAACAAGCACTGACTTACGGGTTTGTCTTTAATGGTCGGACTTGAGACGCAGAGATAGAGTTTGTCCTCCTCCTTAATGCATGCCTCGATCAGTGCCTGCACAGACCGCTCGTCTTGGAACAGGAGGAATGCATAACCTAGGGGGACAACATTATCAGACATCATCAGCACGAAATGCAAAGGACGTCAAGTGAGGAACTCAAAACTATGCTTTATGGGTTCGAGTCTGTTCGTCAAGGGCTGGCAAGCTGGAGGTCTTTTGGGGGAGGGGGCTGGTCATAAATTATACACAACACAAAACAGGGAGTGGAAAAAACATACAAGACAAGCATGAAACTGTTCAATGTAATGTGCCATTTCTGCACCCGACATTTCCCTCTCTTGTTTTTGTCTACCCCTATAGAGAGAAGCATTTTGGCACTCTCAAGTGAACATGCATCGGACATTTCTGACAGCACCTCAATCTCAAATGACCCAACACAGACTGCGCCATTATGACAGCTCCAGCAACGTCTCTGGCATACTGAATGTACCAACAGAGCCTTTTCCAGTGCCTGCACTAATACGGTCATGGTTGAAGGCAGTGCTTCAACCCTGCAATCAGATACATGAGCTTCCTTTTAGGTGGCATCTTGGGGGCCTTCTTAGTATCACAAGACCCATTACACTATCACTTAAGATAGCGTCCTGCCAGGCAGTCAAGACGTGGCCAGCATTACCGTCATACAATTGACGCGTCTGTAAACTTGCCCTGGACTGAACAGGCTGAAACTCTGAAACCCCTCAAGTGTTTTCAAGCCCCCCTCCCCCACAACTTTATTTTTTGTTAACGAGAAGCAAAAATGTGACTCCTTGGGATTCTTCGAATGAAGGGGCATCACTGTAAGAACACCGTTGGCTCAATGTTACTTGACACTTCTACAAGACACAGCTTAGGCTCTGACAAAAGCCCCCAGACACCGGCGGGAGAATAGAGAATATGTAATGGGATAGGACTGTGAAGGAATCACAGTGAATTTGTTTCATCGTGGGGTTTTGTCCAGTACCTTTGGGTGGGAAATACGACTTGCTCTCTGCTTTGTGGGGCCAGTCAACTACGAGACTGCCAAAACGTCGGAAACTGGCTGTGATCTCCTCTGCAGTAAAGAAAGTGGGAGCAATTTTTTTATCATACATTGTAGCACTGACATCTGAATAATAATGCTCACTTTCAAATATCCAACTACCCCCTTTGCTCACAAAAAGAATTGACCAATTTGTTCAACTGTGCGTGCTGTGTAAGAGTGTCCTCACCAATGTTTGTGATTGCATCAAATTTGCATCAACTATAAATTTTTTATTAATGCTCTCAAGAAATACATGCACTTTTGCCTGTGAGCTCTGTTTGCATTTATTAAATTAAATGTACGGTGCATGTGCATGTAACACTGTGCATGTACACGTACATGTACATGCATATGGACACATACAGTCACACCAACATGTAGCTTGAATGTAGAAAAGTATGTACTTTACATCATAAGATCTTTTTCCATGTATACATATGCAGGTAATGAGTGCTCTTATCAAGGCCATGAATGCAATGCAAGATGTTGTCGCTCATCACTGTCTATGTCAGTGGTCTGCCACAGCATCAGCTTCATATTCCACATGGTAGCATCTAATCAACTTGACCTTTCATCAATGACTACTGTTACTGTATTTATTATAAGGCCTCCCTGATCAATACAAGCCATGATTGGATACGCAGGATAACACACGAAAGAGCTTTTAGTAGCATCAAATTAAAAATGGCAAATTGGGAAAGGCTTTTGCAGCAATGGTGGTTTATTTCTTTGAAACAAATTTTGACTAAAACTCAACTAAGAGTGGCACCTGGCTTTATTGTGGGAAATATGTATGAGCTGTTCTGAAAATGAGCGCCTCCGATATTCAATATTAAATTGCAAGTGCCCCAACTTTAAAAACCACTGTAGTGCATGTATATGTGACTGTCGTTTTGATTTATCTTAGCCTTGAGTCTCTCACACATATCCATTACCGGTAGCTATTGTACTATTGGAATAGACAAATATATATAAGAAAGAAGATGTCCGTAGATTGTTCTGAAGCCTCACGGATACACCGTGAGACAAACAGTTGAAATTGAAGTTAATTTGATAAGTCTGTTTCAATTCACTCTCCTAGCTCTTTTTTTGGAGGGGGTGGTGGAGGCTGGGGGACAGGAACTGCTAGATACTTATAGACAATGTTATTTTTTGTTTTTAATTGGAGCTGGTGAATGAAATACCCAGCTCACGAACCACTCAACCGTTTCCCCTGCGCCAGCCCACGCTCTGTCACAACCTACCTTCATCAATATCAGGCGGCAAGCCACCCACAAACACTTTCCTGGAGAACCTCTCAATTCCGTAGTCTGGGTTCGATCGTGGAGAAATATGACCGGGAGAGCTGAGGGAGGGCACAATCTGATCATGTCGACCATCGTCCAGCAATCCATCTGCATATGGACAAGCCAAAAAAAAAGCTCAGGATTAAATTTTGGAATTCCTTTCATCGGCAGTTCAAAAGGAATGCACACTCATGGTATGGAATACGCATACATATATGTACATACATGTACAATTGAAAAGGCAAGGTTTTAAAGAACAAGACGGTTGCAAAAAATAATTAATCAATGATTTGTTAACAGTGAAACACAATTTAAGACGATTCGCATATGTTCCCGTACATTTACTGTAGCAGTTAGCAAACAATACTAGTTCATGTACATTGCACATGTAGCTGCCGGTATGGTATATGTATATACTATATGTACATCTGTTTTGTAAAGCGGGCTAAACTTTTCCTACTTCATGGTCGCCCTTTACTAAGTATCATCATATATGAAAGCTACAAGAAGTACATTAAACAAAATACTAGTGTATAAGTCCCTAATCTTTAAAATGTACCGGTAGTGTATGTTTTTCCAGATAATTTTCATGCATACCAGTACACTCTATTGGCTTGAGGTAAATTTGTTGCGTTATTTCACATGCAAAAGGTTGCCAAATTTCAGGGAATGCAGTGCATTTAGATGTATTCTGTACGTATATATGAGCTGTAATGTTCTGCAATTCACATGCCTTTGGCATCCACATGTCTGAGTAAGAGACATACAGTACTGTAAGTATCCTTTCAAGTGGCAAAAAATATTATGATTTATGCTGTCGCTGGCATGTACGCAACTGGATGTCACTGGCAACTAAATGTTAATCATACTCCATTATAATGACCAGCTGTTTCCCTGTTTATATTTTTTTCTGTTGTATATAAAGCAAATACTTCTACATGTACAATGTACATGCAGCTTAGCTGTATCTGCCTCATAAAGAGTCAAAATGCATAAAAATAAGAATTTGAGGCTAAATTTAACACAGCTAAAAAAATAAAACCAGAAATTACTCATTTTCCTTAGAATTAAATGTAACTAAATGTACCAGTACATGTTGGTGCACTAATTAAAATACTGGAATAGGTACATTCATATGTGTGTATATGTACGCCGATACTTGAAATTTTAATTCAATACCTTCTAAACAGATTTGGGCCAGTTTGAAATATAAAAAGCTATGAATATGGGGGCTACGGTACATGTATACGAGGAAATTTATCACAAATGACCTCACACGTCAATGTAGGAGAAAAAAATACTGCTGTCAGTGAATCACCAGCTGGTGGATTTCTGATGGTATGCCTAATTTGCATGTGGTTCCCACACCTTGCTTTATATGCAGACTAAACAGCCATTGGGATTAATATCTACTGACAAACGGCGCATAATGAGCTTCAGAGGCACAGTAACATCTGCATCTTGCATAAGTTTGCGTGTGCTGGTAAAAACGTCAATGTATATGTACCGGTACATGTAACTGTGCTTGTGCTTTTGTTTCCACCAAGAATGAATTTCCTGAACGAGGATCTACCGGTGTTTTATTATTACTCAGGGCATCCATACCCATGTACATGTACACGTTAACAGTGCATTATATGATATGAATCACAAGAACGGCGAACTGCCTAATTATACAGACCTGTAATAAAATATCATTGTCACTTTCTGTACCAGTGCAACATCCAGGAAGCAACTGCTTTTTATTCCTTACAACATTAATAAGAACACAGTTACATATTGTATAATAGTGGTATTCATGTTGTAATACAAATGTCTACATGTACTGTACAACATACATGTACATACCAGTACAAGAGCATGTACAGTGTATTTGCAATGTACCGGGTACCAGTATAATTGGACTTGCACCTGAATGCATGTGGTACATGAAGTGAATAAATTATCAAATATCAAATCAGTTTGATGTACATGTACATGCAGCGTAACCCACTTGGCTTAAATTAAAAACAATTTGCACAGTACCGTAAATGTGACAAGAACAAATCACATTATAATGTGAAATACTGCATGTACTGTACATGAACATACATGTACACTACCGGTAGTTAACTTTTTTTAAAATACAGATGTACAGTGTGCATGCACATGAATTAATGCATAAGCTTCAAATGAAATTCCGGTACTGGTGCATGTACAGTACATGTGTCTTCTACAAAATATAAGAAAACAGAATTTACAAGAACTGTACATTCAGGCAGCTATGAAAATACATGTATGTTGGTCCACGTAGTAATCCTCTATTACATTTCAGGTACTACATATACATGTGTTTATCCGACAGCAACAAAAAAAGGTGAGGTTGTAATATTAATTATTTGATTTTAGGAAATATCAACATCTTTATTATACAGCTCTCAGGTGTGTGTAGAAACCCCTGCCAAAGGGCTGTTTTCCACAGCCACACAGTGACGTCAATGGCAAACCTTTCAGCACGGGTTAATTCTAGGCTCATAATTACAGCCAATGTGGGCTGTATATTGATTGCACACTGCCTCAGCATCCACACCTCCGTGTTTACACACAAAAGAATCTATGTGGCAGTCACTGCATTTGTAAATGGCCAGAACGGATACTCTTCTTGCTGGTGGGCAGACATGAATAGTAATGAAGGCTGCATGCCTGCATAATGAGCATTTTGGGTCGTCTTTATGATAAAAGAAATCATCAGAATTTCTCATCCACTTATCTGAAAATATTAAATGATGGAACTAATTCTAATGAAATAACGTATTGTTTTACTTGCAATTTTATTTGTGATGTCTGGGAACAAATTCCAACCTATAATGATGGCCAATATGTGTGTGCAGTATGCGTGTACATGTAGTGATTAAAAAATAAATTTCGTGTAGCTGCAAATTTCAAGATTTAGTTGTATTCATGTGTAAACTAAGGTGTATTCTGTTAACTGCAATCGGTACTTGACATTCATTGAGTACATGTACAGTAAAAACATACATACATGTATACTGTACATACATGTAACGTATATAAACGTACATACATGTACATGTACATACATGTACTGTTATCTGAGCGATACAAACCAGGAAAGAAATACAGGACACACGCTGTACACCTTGCTGGTACATATACCCGGTAAGTACATTTAACAAATGTTGACCGCTGCGGTGTAGGATATGATGCTTTGAACACCCGAAGGATGCATAGTGCCCTGAGGCATCATATCCACACCAAAGCAGTCAATGACTGTTTTGTTACACCTCTGTCTTAAGGAATTTATCCAAAGAAACAAGCCCTGAATTTCAGAAGACGATAGGCCTACTGTCAAAGTGTACAATTGTAATAAACAGACGTAAGCGATATCGTCTGCAAATGCAATGTTCCCTCACCTTCTTTAATCGCGTAATCTTTAATGTAAAACTAGTGTGGGTACCAGTGTGTACATGTAGTCTGGTATTAGTGGTCCCTGTATTACCTTATACACTGTGGGGATGGGAATAAGTCTGTTATATGTGCGCAATTCTTGATCGTATTCCCTGGTAGCCTACGCACAAAATGTATCATGGGTACCATGCAAAACTTACTAAAGGAGCGGAAATGTTTGCCCTCGAACTTCCCGAAGCTCTTATGTCTTGCGCGTGTGTGCAGAAAGAGATATATCACGGTGAGTGTAATAGGCGCATATATCACCCCGTCATGTGATCGTTCAGGGCCAATAAATGGACAGTATCCAAGACAGAGGTACGAAAATATTCTTATCACACGAGTACGAGTGGAACACGGAATAATGTAGTGCATCTGTGTCCCGTATGCCACGAGGCCAAAGGCCAAGTGCTATAAGGGACACATACATGTATGCACTACATTATTCCTAGTTCCAAGAGCGCGAGCTGGATAACAAATTTTTCTTCAAAAAAAAATGAACATGCAGTAAAGATGGTAAAGTTGCCTATGGGTGCTTTACATACAAAACACCCAAAATATCATACAGCGCACGACAAAAACAGTAACACCGATGTACCACAATTTGGCAATTTTCTCTAGGAGGCATGCGAATTATTTGTGTTTTAACTTTATTTCAATAACAACAATAACAATAGGGCCTCCACTGAGAAAGGAAATTGTGCGCGTGGATTTAAGAATCATGTGGCGATCAGCGCCAGCAATCGTGCCACTTTTAAATTACAGTGATGTAGACGTGCATTTGCTTGTAGCATAAAAATAGCGTATTGCATTGAGTTAGAACATTGCATTATGTAGGGTTTGATATGAACCGTGCAGTTAGGTTATACATCACAGTTTGTTGACATGGATCGACCAATCAGAATTGTGAAATCAAGTTTGCCTACAGACAAGTACAGTACATGTCTACCCATACACATGCACATGTATGTTCACGGTATCATGTACATGTACATGTACATGTATGCAAATTTAGAAATTACAACACTTTAGCAGCATTACATGTGGCTAACCCAACTTGTCAACAAATAAATGTCTAAACTTATGGGGTCAAATAATTGATTTTGCAAAGCAGCATGTACACATACATGTATGTACCTGTGCAGTAAAAAGACCTTGGTATGATACTACATGTGTACATGTACAGTATATGTACCGGTATACATCATTTACCGGTACATACATGTACATTTAGATTATTCATGTAAATTAATAATATGTTGACATCCAGAAACTATCCTGGATGAAATAACAATTGCTGGAAATGTACCATACATTTGTTTAAAGTATGCATTTTTGAGGTGGGGGAGGGCTGTTCTTTATTTCAGCATAGTACATGTACCAGTATGCGTACAACTGGTGTAAAGTCTGTAAGTTAACATTCACAATGGCCTATCGGTACACTGAAAAGAAGGCTCATTTAATGTCAGAGGGTAAAAGTCACCTTGTGTTATTTTGGTTTCCACAAATAAAACAGTGTCAGCATTATGCTAGACCCAGCACCTTTCCACAATGGACACTATTGACACAGGACTCAAGTCTTCATAATGTCTTTGAAGTTGCTGTAGATCCTAGCAGAGTACACAGTTGATAAAATCACAATGACTACAGGTACGCGTAGGTCCCTCATATACATGTATTTGTTTTTTATCTGTGCACTTTGGAATAGATGTGTATAAAGCATATGCAGGCTAATTGAATAATTAGCCTAGTGGCACTTACATTGTACAATATGATACATTCACATGTGTGTGTCTGCACACATAAAGGGGGTGGGTTTTTCATGACTTCATTTTCTCAGTCCTTGCAGAATACCAAAAGGATTTTCAGCGTTGAAATTTTCAAAGGTGAAGAAATTTTCCCGCTGATGCATCATGGGAAACCTTGTCATTTTTTTCTGTCCAATTTTCTCACACTAACACAAATTCTACTTTGAGCATTTTTGAAATGAGTGGATTCGGCTTAGACTTTGATTTCGCTGGTTCCAGCCATTTTGAAGCAGCATTTGAAACCCCACGTTCAAGCTCTGACTAGAGAACCAGCGAAACCAAAGTCTAAGCCGAATCCATTCATTTCGAAAATGTTCTTTGTTCACATTTTCACTTGTGAAACGCTAATGAAATTTGGTCAAGGAGCAGCATATGGTATTTGAATTGTGAAGGTAACAAAGGTTTTAAAATCTTGAAGCCTGTTACATGACCGATATTTAGGCTCAACAGAAAGTGTTTAATCAAGGTGAGCACAAGGAAGAGGTGAGCACAAGAAATTAACTGAAAGGAGCCCTCACAATGTACCCGTGTCATCACATTTCACCTGTAACAGCTGGTAAGGACAAAAGCAACAGTACAGCCGTGTTCCCGTTGAACTTTTTTGATTAACCTACCAAGATTCAATCCAATGGGAACACACAGTAAAGTAACGTCCCGGTTATCTTACCACGATCATGATGTAAAACTTAACTAACAGGCTGAAAAGAGTCGTGGAAGATTTCTGCACAGCCACGGTAAGTTGTAGCAGGGGTGCAAAAAAGTCCAACAGAAACAGTTCCCGTACAATGTAAATGTACGGTACATTGACTACCCGGTACGACCACGCTAAACCTATGAATCATGACTACTACTACACAGAGATCTATAGTGGGCACACAAAATTGGTTGTGTGGTTCCCAGTCTCCAGCTCCATGTGTACAGTACGGCATTATGCCATGTACACACATTGTGTATGGGTACATGTTGTGGCAGATTTGGCTGAATTCATCTGATTTTGTCATTTTTTTTGTTAGATTTTGCCACTTTTGTCATGATTTGTACAGCACAGGCTATGTACATGTAATTAGCTAGTTTTATTAGTACTATGAATATACATTCTGTTACAGGAAAAAAATCCATGTGGGAATGCGTGGTACCGGTAGATTGACATGAAGGAATGTCGTGGTAAGTTTCTGCGTGCCCGCAGAAGAAAAAGTCCAATGGAAACATGGCTTATGATAACAAATGGAAGATGCACATGTACCCGTACATGTGTGTAGAGATGTTAGGATGAATATTTTATATCCAGGCTTCAGATACACATGGACAATCACGCATGTATGTACATCTACATGTACATACAGTACATTGTACATTCACCAAAAAGCACATTCACAACGAAAGCCATTATCAACAAATTAACATCTTACATGTAGCTAGGCCACTGGTAAATTAAATAACTGCTATTAATATGGCAGAATGCTGGACAATGTCAATTATCTACCCTGGCCCTTAAAATGTATTCATGTACCAGTACATGTACGTATAGGTTATCTTATGCAGTTTTAAGGACATGTACATGTACTAGTACATGTATGTAGTGGCAGCTTCAATAATGCAGACAGAATGATAATTTATATTACACATACATGTACAATGTACATGTACTGCCAACCATGTACTGGTACTATGTACGTATACATGTACAATCTACAGATGTACATACATGTACATACATACCATACTTAAACACACTCTAACCATATATGACAGCTCTGAATCCAACTGTGATTTTTTACACATCCTTACAGTGAAACCATACTGGTACATGTGGCATGCTAAGGACGATTACACAGGACACTCAAAACAAAGGACACATATTACATGTAGTACTGATTATACTGTATCATGTACATGTACATGCAAAGTATCAGTAATTCAAAAATAAGACAGAAGCATGAACATTCTTTCATAGAGATTACCTGATTCAATTAAGAGAGGAAATTTGCTATCTATGTGCAAGGAAATAACTTGTTGAAATCTTAATTTCACAGGAAAATGGTGTTTAGGCACGTAAGCCTGGCATGCCTTGCCTTTCTTTAAATATGAACAGCAAAGATGTCTACATGTACATGTAACATGAGCCAAAACTCTAAAAAAATTAAACACTCCATGCTTAATCTACATGTACAATGTACATGTAGACTTACCCAGTACTTCAAAAGTTCAGCTGATTTCCCACTGATGGAAAGTAATAGGGTTTCGATTGACTGCATCAACTTGTGCCATCCACTACATGACGTCAAGGCTCAATGTATGCATGGTACCAGCACTCCAGCTTTAGCAATGTAAAAATTACATGCTGAGCTGGGCCATCAAATTTTGTTCCCCAAGCATGTATTAATCTAAAAAATCATTATTCTTCTATGTTGAAATCAACTCTGCAGAAACTACATGCACCTACATGTATACATAAGGTATGAAAGTAGGAAGTAGAAATACTTGTAAGGTGAACTGAAATGAATTGCAGGGCATCAACTTCAAGCATCATCTTAACTACATGTACTGTACATGTACAAGTGCTTTATTTTTTCACTCTCCAACAAACCAGTACGCGTACATGTACCAATTATATTGGTTTAGCTGGTCTTTATTTTTCCCCTCTTTTTAACTAATTCATTCAAGGATGTACATATGATGTCCATCTTGAAATGTTAGAATTTCTTCTTGTACTTCCTCCAGGCTGTGCGTCTTTGGAGGTTCTTCATGTATATGAGCTCGAGACTGACACAAAATGGGACCAAAAAAACTGATGACAAGCCTTAGAAAAGCAAGCCCAACAACTGAATAATGTACTTTTCCACCAGTTAAAAAGACAGGAGGGGCCATGAATATCTTGATACAAAGAAGATGTACATGTACATGTATGTACATGTATTTCTCCAAACCTTGGCATATGCAAACACTCCAAAACATGCAGAATGTTACCCTTGCCCCTGGGGAATGGCAAGCATCTTTGTAATTTTTATGCCAATAGCTGGTACATTGTACTTAGAAAGACAGTTAACAGTTGAGAGATGTTCAACTTTAGTCAAGTGAAAGCTAAACTGTCTATATTTAGGCTCTCTGGGCACTCATAATACAGTAGAGATCCTTCCTCTCTTCTTAAACAGCTATCAAATGTAAAGGAATACATGAAGTGATGTTAATATCGAAAGTGCAACTGTGCAACCTTTAACTTTGCAGGGACTCATATCCCTATGGCATGAACTTACAGGGTCAGCATGCCAGATATTGCCACGTGCCACTGTGCCAGATCCCAATACACAAAACATACGTACACATATGAGAAACGCAGATATTGCATACATGTATACATGTACGTGGCAATTTTGCACATAGTTCTGACATGTGGCTTTTGTGGTTGTACTCCTGGTACCAATGAGAGTCAATTCCAGGTACAATCTTAAACCTCAAGTGTATCTCCTCCAAATCAAATTGACCACTATAGACATACATGCACAATCATGGTTCAGTTCTTTTATATTGTTCTCCTGGTGCTGAAAATACCAACCCATCCTGAAGCCTATCACCACCTCTTTGTACCTGTAATCCACCCACCGCAAACAAATAAGATAAGATTCAAACTTATCAGTAAGGTACCCTGTGACCTAACAACTCCTACTGACCTGAAATGGATGCACTGTGATATAATGAAGTTACAAAGTGCAAGCAAAGTAAATCTGGATCAAAGTTGAATCAACTTATTCTTAGTACTAAAAACAGGAATCTTCATCTCAATTTGTACCTAGTGTTGTTATCATACATGCAACTGTCAATATTTTATGATCAACCAATAAACCTAAAAGAGTGGGCCCCTGGGACATTTTGCATCCACTTTTTTTTTTGTTACTTACATGTACATGTAACAGTTGTAGAGGTCCATGTTCATATGTGTACATGTACATTACTAACAATTTCATTTGTTAGGTGAAGTCTTTAACATCCAGGCTGAAACATCAAGTTTATCAATGCTTTGAAACCTCAGTGAATGGACATTTAATGATCTTTTTACTTTCAATAAAAAGTATCCACATTAAGAGTAAATAAAAAGCAGGACAGCATGTACATGGATACATACATGTACATGTACCGGTAAATGTTGTACGTACATGAACCAGTTCCGTAGACCTACAAAATTTGCAAAATCTGAACACAGAAAGCCACAGTACTCACATGGGTTTCGAGTGTAGTGGTCCATGGAGTTTTCTGTGCCACGCATGATGTCAAACAGTTGGTGTTCAAGAGATGATAATTTCATAGGGTCAACGCCAGTATTCTGCCCAGCTCGTTCCTTCAAGGGAAAAAAATGTGATGAGTGTGAAACAGCGATACAAAATATCTATTTCACTTAAAACTATTTCAATGATGTCTTGATGTAATAAACATTGCACATGTATCATACAAGTTTCTACCTCAAACATTCTGTATAAATACTCTGTACCTTTACCAACTTTGCAGTCATTAACTGTCCATCCAAGATATACATGTACAAGTAAGGCCTACATGTAGATACCCGGATATCTAAGTTTCAGACACATGAATTTCTCAAATTTCAGTGACATACATATCCACATGTATTTCAGAATGGCAAGAGTTTGCATCATAATAACTACTGGTTTCAGGAAGTGTTTTTCTGAATTTCGAAAAGACTTCCACAGTAAGAGAAAGCTTCCTATTTAATGGCAAACTGTGCACTGAAACATTTTGTTCATAATTTTTATGTGCCGGTATGTAAAAATCCTTGTCTGTTACCCATGGAACAGATCCTTCTCTAAACACATACCCTAGAGAATGTTTTGCAGAGTAGAGGATCATATGAATAATTCAATTCAGCATGGAGGCCTAACAATTGTATGTACATGTACATGTGCACAAAAACCTATTGGTTATTGATTATTCCCCAATCTCGCATGTAAATCCACCACTTACAGATGAAAAGCAGACACTGACCTGGGGCAAGCCATTTGTTCACACTGTAATAACAAGCTCTTAAACACATTACTGTGTTCTGAATTGAACATAAAAAATGAAAAGTCTCGACAATGAACAAAAATTTTTCAAAATGGATTGACCTTTAAACTACATTTACTCTTTTATATGTAATGAGTAAAATACAAGCTGGATTTCCTGCTAAGGTTTCAAAGCCTTATGCATGATTTTATTTCCAGTGGAAAGTAGAAATGAAACCAAGAACGCCCACTCAAGCTTGCCACTGCAGGTATGTGTATTTGAGACATGGTGCTCAGCAAGACAGTTTGTGTGGCCCAAAGTTGTCTCCTTGGCAAGGTTATGAGGTAGCCAAATTTGGTCAAAGGATAATTCATGCAAACCGGCACTGATACACATGCACGCATGCTAATGGAGAAAATAATGGCTGGCTCTATGCCTACTACATTATACGTGTAATATGAATCAATGCATGTTGCTTAAAAATATACACTGTACATACCGGTACATACATAAATGTACCGTACATGTACATAGTTCCACTACAGTACAATAAGATCACTGTCACATAAATGTGCTCTTCTGCACAGGAGTACATACACACATACATGTACATGCAGTACTTGATTGGTAGTTGTGGGGGCAAACTCACACGACCACATCTACTTTGTGGGGACCAAAAACATTAAGGAGACAGAGAAATGTCCCCACAACTCCCCTAAAAAGAAAATTGTCTCCTTAACCCAGTGAAGGCCTACCCACAGAAAAACCCCTCTTAGAGAAGCCCCTGTGTGTCAGTTCTGGTTGTAGTGTCAGTTTCATGTTTGCAATAGCGTAATGGGATTGAGAAGTGACAGTACACATTCAACGAGATCATATCTACATGTGTGTACATGAACATGTTTTAGTGTGCGTACGTGTATGTACACTGTACCTGTGCATGTACCAGAGTGTACAACAACAGAAAATATACCATAAGGTGGTGACGAACTCCAACAAGATTCCACGAATGCTTGTCTGGAGTGGACATTCCTCAAAGTACAAGCAGAATTTTATTATTCAAGCCATGAGCAAAAAGGGGAGCTCCGGAATTTGCAGAGAATTTGTCCACTTAAGCGCTTGCACATGACTGGCTTGTAAAACTAACCCATTCTACGTTGTTATTTATGACTGAAGAAACAAATTATCTTGCAAACAATAATACATTATTACATGTACATTAAGTTGCCTACTGTTGTCATTCCTCCCCCCCCCCCGAAAAAAAATGTCTGCAAAACTATTCTGGAGTTAAATGCTTTTTCAGAAGCATTTTAGTTTTGAGGCATGACAATGCAAAAACAAGCAAGCATAGGCTTCAAAATGCACGCAGAACTTGCTTGGGAAATATTTGGGCAGGGAACACCTGCATTGTTGATTATTACATAATGGATCCCAGTATAGACTGATAAGGATCAATAACCAATGTGACCCAGGCACATGTTAAAACATGGAGGCATTGAACAGATGAGGACTGTAAACACAGCATTTGCAGCAACAGCTCTTGGAGATTACACAGCAAATCTCCTTTCAGTGCTAAAGAGCTTCCAAATGGATTCTATGCCTTGGTGGCTTTTGTTCAGCAGTTAAAAGTGCATGTATACACATAATGGTTGTTCACAAGCTTGCATGTCCTAAAAGAACAACAGAAATGGGAGATGGAGCATTTGTTACTATATATGCAGCTAGCATCCAATTTCTGGTGAACAGCACAGGCATGCAAAATGACATAATACTAATAGCGAACTAAACATTTTTGCTTACTTGTAGAAATAAGCAAATTATGCAAAATGTACCATGACAAAACAGCAAGTTATTATGGTAATTTCTGCACCTGAATAAGTAGGCTTTGAATCTGAATAGACGATAAAATTACAATTGTAATGTATTTACAACTCCTTTAAGGCACTTGATTTGTTTACACAAACGGATGCAGTAACAAATACTGTGACTATGCTCCCTGTATCAAAGTGCATGCCATGGCAACCATGAGGAGACTATTGCATTTTAGTTCAGAGGTCAAAAAATATGTATGTGTAAAAGGTTCATCAAAGATTATATTGTACATGTACATGTAGGTTCCATAAAAGATAAACATAGTCTTAACCAGAAACATACTGGTACCTGTATATTAATGTGTTATGGCAAATGTGGGTACCATTTTTTCAGTTAGAACAAGCGTGACCATCTGGAATGCAGCCCGATAGAAAATGCTTTAATATACACCTTCTTTATCTAAGTACGTCTCTAGACACAACTTTAAAATTACAACCTTTCACAACAATGGGCATCAGAAATTACCTAATAAAAACAAGACAATATATGTGATGCAAAAATAACTTTTTATGATAGGACATAAACTACATGTATGGTTCCCCAAACTTACTTCTCTCAAGCAACTGCCATTCTCTGGATTTAAATAGAAAATAAATTACATATACAGTATCTGATGAACTCCACGAAGGAAGCAAGAAAAAAACGTGTTTCACATTTGCACAAAGTCTCTGTCTTTAAGCCCTTTGAAATGTTTCGATGGAAAGATGGATTTTGAGGGAAGGTAAAAGCATAGGCTACATGTATTTGCTAACTGCAGACGTTCCTTTGACCATGGGAATTGGCAGACCCCAAACTGCTCAAAACCTCCCAAGTTGGTAGGTGACATGTACATGCAGACACATGTTCCATAGTTCTAGGTAACATTAAGTAAGAAAAAAAGTGGGGCACTGTAAAGACAAGCGTACTGTACCACTCATGCATGAAAAAGCTACATGAATTGAACAGTATGTTTTCCTGCAGTTATACTGTGCAAAAGGAGCAAAGAAAAGGTCAATTCCTTGAGTCCTTCCCTTTATGCCCATTTATTCCAAAATGAACAACATGCATTTTGACCCTGTGACATTTCTTGTGGTATGTGGTGGAGAATCTGGGTGTAATCTGTTGAGCACTATGCGCACTGTGTGCATGCAGCATCTGACATTTCACCCATACTTTGCCTATTAACTGAGCGGCTCAGCTCAATCTGGTATATTGCTTAATACAACTTGATCAACGAGGGCAAGACTGGACACTTTTTGCCTTTTACAGAAATCTAAGCCGTTTAGAATGAAACAGCTGTGTAAAGTGACCTGTTATGGTCATTATCATCGAGGAGTGACTCTGTAACAGAGCCTCAGAGGCTGCATCCGAATCTGTTGTCTAGAGCTATTTCTAGGTCTTCATTGCATTGGAAATATGCAGAAACAATACACCTAGCCATAGCTCTGTAAGCCCATTTCAGACACAGCTAAGATTGACAATATGGCTCCAAGTTCCAACCAAGAAAACAAAGGAGTATTTTAACAATTTTAAGTAAGCTATAACAATACTGCAACAGAGAAACAATAAAATACAAAACAAATGCTATGGGCAGGGTCAAACAAAATGACATGTGAAACACATTTTTGCTTCAAAAAAATACAAAAATTTCAAAGTAGGTTTTGTTGGTTTTGATGTCATAGTGTTTTGCAGAGATGCTTTGGACACTAAACAGAAGGTACTGGCAGGATTACATGTAATGTTAGGACTCCACATCAAGCTTCCAGGCAGGAATTTTTTTAGGGAAGAACAGTTTCACATTAGAGTGACTACTCACCTGGTATGGAAAGAGTGTGTTAGTGTTGGCATCTGTTCTCTTCCCGTCTGCTCTGGTGAACTCTAAACTCGGGGCTGTGTTTATACCGGATGGATACTGTCCGTAGTTCTTTGCAGGCAGTGATGTGCTTCGCTGAAATTTGGGTGGCGAGATGATAGGGTTGGAAAGAACACGGCCTTTCTGGGGTGATATGGAGGGCTGGGTGACTGACTGATTGTTGACTGCTGGCATGGATCGCCTCTGCTGCTGCTGAATATTATTAGCCATTGTAGGAGCTTGCCCACTTGGTGGAGAGCCTACAGTTCCCCAAGGGTTCCCCTGTTGCTGCTGCTGCTGAACAGAGGGCTGCATGCTTTGTTGGTGGGCCTGTGGTGATGGCCATGATGTCGCAGCAGCTGTTTGCTGAGCAGCAGCAGAGTTCCAGTTGGCTGGGTACTGCTTACTTTGGAGGTAAAGACTTCCAGCCTGAGCTTGTGCCTGCAGCTGAGCTTGAGCCTGCTGTAGCTGGGTCGCTGTCTGATAGATGTTTTGCTGCTGTGTTGGCGCCTGGTGTGGCGGTAGGCTGCGACGCTGCTGAACAGCCTGCTGCTGCTGCTGCATCCCGAGCTGAGGGGACAATGTGGCATTGGGACTGAAGAGTGGTGATGAGTTGCGAGGAAAGTTCTGAAACTGCATTGTGCCATTCATGGTTGGTAGCCCCTGGAAATAGGATTCTTCAGCAGCAGTGGCAGTTGACCAGAGATTTGGTGCACTTGTAAAACTGCTCGAACTCGCTACCGAATTTACCGCACTGCCGCTGGTGCCAGAGCTTGCAACGTTATTGATGTAATTGCTTGGATTCACGTCTTGAATAAACTGTTGTTGCTGCTGTTGCTGCTGTGCTTGTGCCTGGGCATGGACCTGGGCCTGTGCGTAGTACCCGATCTGCTGTTGCAGCTGCAATAGCCCGACGCTTGCGGCAGACGACGTCGAAGTTGGAGCCACCTCTGACTGTGCTTTGTTCTTCTCCGGCACAGTTAAGGGACTTGAATCCCCCGATTTTGATTTCGAGCCCGGTGACAAGTCATCTGAGTTGTCGGAGCTCAGATCTGGGTTGGGGGACAACTGCTGAAGGTGCTGCTTACTCGCAGTTTTCTCCATCAGCATGTCATCTTGCATCGTTAGCGCCTCGGGAGAAAACAAAGACACAGTGCTCGAATTCGGGTACAATTCCAGCGGTGAGAGGGCCCTCGTGTCGTGTGGATGAACATCCAAACCGAAATCCCCCATTTAGCAGGTGCTATTTGGTCTTGATGAACCAAGTGTATACGCTCTAACTTTCTTTTTTTTATCAAAAAATATGGGAAAGCTAGTTCGGCGTACCTTTCATGTCCAGCTGTTCAACAGTGCAGCAGATACGACGGTACTGCATGAACGGTACCGGCATTCGACGGATCTCAAGCGAACGTACCGTCGTCCGTGTTTATGTGCGCTGTTTACACGAATGCTGCGGTACGGTGAATCGTTGGGGGGAAGTAAGTGAACGCGTTTGAGTCGGCGCGGTTCACGCATTACATTGCACGACGTTCAGCGATTTGCCGGTTTCTGAATCCCAGCCAAGCAAATTTACAGTGAACTAAACAACGAAGCAATATTTACCATGATTTTACGCCCAAAATATCAAAAACAAAAGTAATATCTTGAAAAAATGTATTAGATATATGTAGTCCTTCAAAATAAAAGAACAAATCATCTGGTTTTTAATTAATACCTTGAATAACAAAATATTTAAATTTAGCTCAGAGAGACAAAAACAGGAGTACTAGAAACTGCTGGCGGTCACGAGCGGCAACGCCGGGGCAGCTGTTACTGTCTCACATAAAACCAACGAGGGCGCTTTGTCCACAAAAACGGGTGCACCTGAATGAGGCAACGATCACAATGGGGAGAAGAAAAGTTAGGTTTCACACTTTTCTGAACCCGCTCGTGCCGCGGTTTTACCTGTGGGTGCTGTTGAAAGGCCTTTCTTGCTTTTGTACTTGTGTGAGTGGGTAAATAACCGTCGCGGCGTGAAAAGGCGCCAGAGTGAACTGCGAGGCAATTTCATTTTGATTGTCCTGATAGAATGGGTACAGGCACCACCGGTAGTTCCGTCGATTTACTCAAAGATGTTCTAAAGGTCTTCCACTCGGGGGGGGGGGGCGAGCTCTATGACATGGTCTGTTTGGAAAACCAATTTTATTTCGAGCTCAAATCATAGTTTTTTTCCCAATGATCTTAAAGTGAGGCAACTAGGAAATTTGTTTTTTTTTAGGAGAAATTACGTTTTCTTGATCAGCTTGGAGTACCTACTATTGAATTAGTCAATCAGTAATAATTGCTTTAGAGTAATTCTCTCGGTCGGTTAATTGGTGTGCCATCTGCTTGATTCTGATTTGTTGATTTTATTGGTTGCTTCTGATCACAAGGATCGGTTTACACAGAGATAAACTTCATTACTCTCAAAATCAGTTGACCCACATCCTAAAGAATTGGTGTTGACGATACCTGCTGTCTTGTTGTAATTAGTTGTTTATGATTGTTTTAAATTTTCCCCAACACCCTAATGTTGTTGTGACGGTCTTGGTTTGCATTTTGGCCCAGATAACCCTCCCCTCCAGAAAACACCATGGTCCGTCAGTGCATATGCCCAAATTTGGCCTGCATGTGGTGAGTTCGACATGCAAGACTCAGAGGGTAGACCATTATGCTGGTAGTGATGTTATGGATCGACCCAGGTACAAATACGGAGGGTCTTGTGAACAAAAAGTCTTCGTGTATCACACTATGCAAAGCTAACTGCCTAGTTTTCTACTTACAATTCACCCCATGGGTCATGATAGAAGAGTACGTGTTTTGGGCCTTTGGTGGCAAACACACAACCAAAAAAAGGACAAAGAACCAAAGGTACGGGCAGTATATATAATCTTTAAAAGCTTGTTTTGGAAGTGGCCCAGGGGCTGCAAATTAAGCTGCGGGCAAAAGACAAAAACCACAAGAATGTTGGGTCGCCATTGGACCTTTCTCCGAAGGCTTGTCTGGTCGCGTGGCTCGCACGCGACCATATTACGGGCCAAACAAAGGGTTAGCGGACGGCCTGAAAATGGAGGAGGGCAAGCAGTGAAAGAAAGTTGACAATGGCAGCTGTGGAGTACAAAGAAAGTTGAGCGGAGAAATGTGGTCGCACCCCGCAGCGATGCTGTGTGTGTCGCCAGGTCATGGCACGTTAAATGGTATTCTTCTTCAATGATCACCGAGGACGTTGGTGGTTTGGGAGGGGGTGATGGACAAAGCCCAGCCGGGATTTGTCGTCGGCTTTGCGCGTTAGTCCTTGCGTAATTCGGACCTGTGGAATACAAACACTACTCATATTTTGTTATTGTTCGAGTCTCTTGGTTTCACTGGTTTTCCTTTTTAGGACATTACAAAATGGAAATTAAATACTAACCATTTCGGCCCCCACGGCTTACACTTTCAACTTGTATATTGTAGATCACTGTAGCGACTAAGCGTTTTGAGGATTTTTTTTCACATTTTATGATTGTGTTGAAAATTGGTGCACTAAACGGTGATGGAAGATCGGCATATAGAATTCACCTTAGTAGCTTCACTTCTTGATGACCAGAAATGTAAAACAAACCTGCTTTTAAAATCTTATGCCTAACAGCCAATGAAACAGCTGGCCAAATTTCAGTCAAACTTAAGTTCACCGGCCTTAGCCTAAATACGACGCAGTAATTGATCGGGACAAAAATGGCTGTCAAACTTTCAAAGCCTCTGTCTCCATAACGACTTGTTAAAAAGGAATCTCATTCAAATAAGAACAACCACCAAGCAAACAAAGGGTAGCAGATTAAAAAAACCAGAACAAAAAACTACAACAACCCGTTCTCGTTTCAGTTTTCCACCACATTTAGTTTCTAGAGCAGCATAAGAATGTCCACGCTAAGTTGTATGGGCACAAACATTAAAAAACCACTCAAAACCGGTTTTAGAGGGATCGGGTTGTGTTATAAAAATCCGAGGACGGCTCTTACGTAAATACAGGTTTTGTTGCAAATTTCCGAATGGGACACCCGAGAAGGAAACAGACATCCGACGGGGAAAGTGTGCCCAGTCGTGTTCCCCGCCCCAAAGTTATACGCTACAACAGTTATTACAATAATGCTAAACATTGATATCAGAACATTTCAGGCTTTCTTGTACGTAAGAGTTTCGTGCTACAAAGGCGGGCCCCTAACCAAATTTCCAGGGGTGGGGTACGGCAAAAATGATTTTATTTCAAGTAGTTTTCATGGCTTTTCTGAGGGGTGAAGCGACATGGGGAAATGACACTGACCCCCCATTACCTGTCGTTCCTTTTTGAAGGCTGGTGCGGTGGCACCCGTTGCCTCCCTCCTCCCGATCAGCCCTGTCCTGATGAAACTATCGTTGGAATTTCCCGTGTCCCTCCTACTGAACATTGATTCACGTTTTCTTAGCACAAAACTGGATACCACTCTCCCCTCCCCGAGTCTCGCAAGACTTACTGGCAGACGCCATATACTCTGACCCGATGAGAACTTTCCTTTTTGAAGGCTCTCCTGTAGTAATGAAATTTATGTACAGCTGCCGTGCGTGAATGAGAAACCGGCAATGCCCAAACAAAAGTTTTGAGGACAGGTGCTCAGCCACCAAATTGTAAAGCTATTTGTCAGATCTTTTGTGGCGCGGTCGGATATTGTTAACCCTGCCTGGTCTATTGGCAGGTGTCGTTATTATATGTTGTGCTTCTTGTCCACAGTGAAGCAACATGTTTTGGGAAATTATGTGTGCGAAATGCAAACAATGATGCAAAGGACTGTTTATTTTAAACTAATGGGCTTGCGCATGTGTTCTTGGTGGGGAAATGACAGGGTTGGTTAGTGTTGAAGTAACGTTCGAGTATGCAGTGTTGCACTCGAAAGCCGTTAACCCTCCTCAAAGAGCCGGGTTACTTTGACCCATCTCACAGCCCGGGAACGGATTCCACCCCCAAGAGCTTGGCTGTGCCACTCTCGATTTTACTTTGCATGTATGTAAAAATATTCCAATATTACAAAAAATGAGAAGTTTAAACTCAATTGAACACATGGTTTTGTTGCTACGGTCATTTGAAGTTCAAGGCTACATAATGCACGTGTGCCCCATCCTGCATGCATTGAGCACCACAACAGAAAAAGTACATGTATACATTATTGGCTGACCTGGCTCAAAAAGAATATACGCTGCGCAAGAACGATATGTTCGATTTTCACAAAAAAGGTGTCAAAATGACCGTAAACAGTTACTGTAAATACTCCAAAAAGTTAAGCTCTTTTAGGTCTAAAGTATCACTTTTTTTATAGCCAAAACCAGGGCTGTGACGGGTCCGAATGTTGCCAAAAGCTTTAGGTAAAACTAAATCGTTTAACGGTACAAGAGGTATCTTCTTTTTTGGCATTCATAACTATATCTAACTGTCTTTAAAATAGAAGAAATTTCAATGATGTTTATGCGTGTATTCACAATAAAAATGCGACTTTGTTGGTCATCATTTTCCCCAGTGCACACAAACACAGGTAATGAGACCTTTTTCCTGCTCTTTGTATAAACATGCGAAAGGTATTGTTTGTACAAGTGCAGTCAGGCACTCTGACAGTGCACGTGCTATCATGGAGGCGGGACCAAGTTGATTTTAAAGAGTATGATACTTGCATGCACACCCTCCCCGAAAGGATACTTTTTTTTTACTTGTGGGGTATTTCCTTTGTTCTCTTATACAAAACTCCCGCAAAACACGGAAAAAATTCAAATCACTGCCATTTCAACCAAATTCAGTTTCCTGGGTTGTTTCGACCTATATCCCTTACATAAAATACTTCAATTTACGACGGATGGCACTTGAAACTTTTTCCCTCCTTTTTGAGTAAATTTGAAATATCTATTTCGTGAAATTCTTTGGGGTCCCACTTTTAGTACCCCATAAGTATCAAAACTTGCCCCGTGGGGTACCTTCCATTGTTCTTGTACCCCACAAGGCTGGGTGTGTGTGTGTTTGCGGGGGGAGGGTATTCTCTTGAGTTTTTGGTTGGTTAGTTGGTCTCATAATTAGTACTGAGTTCATAAACACGTCAATGTGCTGTACACGGAAGCTGCCAATAGTAAAGAGATTGGTGGCGCCATACAAGAACTTTGGCTTCAAGGATTGCTCTATTGCAAAATAGGTAGGAAAGTCACCGAGAGGGATACAATTGATATATTGAATGCATAACAACGAAAACGAATTCGAGTGCGACGCTTAAAATCATGCAAAAGTAGTTTAAGAAATAAATTGAAAATAAACTTTGAGGTTTAATGCGAAATATCAGGATTTCTTTTGATAGATATGTGTCCATACCCTACTTTAAAATGACATAACCGGCCCGGCACGTCGCCATTTTCTTAAGGCCACAACCTGCGTATCATCAGTGTTTGAAGTTTCAAGTAAATTCTAAACGAGAAACATTTGCTAAGTAGACATTGGCAAGGGCACATCCGATGTAAGTTGGTAGTAAAGCCAATTGGGATATTTCCACAAAATTTCCCGAACAACTGGAGAACAAGAATACAGCTATAAAGCTAGTAAAAGTTACACGAATAACGTTACTCGTTAGGCGTAGGCCTATCTAGGCTAGGTTAAGTTACCGTCGTTTGTTATGATTCAGCTTGACTTTGCGCAATTGTCATGGTTGTTTGGGGTGGCAGGGGCCGGGGCCAATCCCAGTGAGAAGCCAGTCTTTATACTTCAAAGTTTCAGGACCCTGCTACTGTCGGCTAGAACATAAATACGTCGTCCTCTGCTAAAACTTGCAAGAATGTCACAAATATGTAGGTACATTAATGATTCTTCCCAAAATGACTCCTAAAGTCTATCATTGTCACTGTCACTCAGCAAGGATTACAGGCATATCGACAAAATGGGCCTAGTTTAGACCTAGTAAAAGGTTGGCCTGTAGGACCTAATTTTGAACTGATACACAAAGCCTAGGTGCTAATTTAAGAAGTTCAACAAAATTCAGCGAAACAAAAATGTAGATTATACATGTATGTATGATGCATGTCGTCCTTTAAAGTACATGTAAGAATTGCCCTGAGCACTGAGTAGAACTTAAAAGAAAAACAACTAATTTGAGGCCCAACAGAACATGGGCAAGGAATTATATATGGACGCCACTGATTTTTCTGTACAGTTGTCTACTGGCCATCTGAAACCAATAACTTGACCTAAAAAGTGATATTAAGGAAGGAAAGTATTGAGGTATTCACGTAGGGAACAGAATTTTTAAGACCAGTCTCATAGGGTTTGTGTTCAGGTTGTCTAGCTGCATCTGTATATGAAACTTTTTTGGCCCTACGTGTACCTTTCATTGGGAATTCTTACACCATGTACTGGTATGTATGAGTAAGTATTTTAGGTTTCACATATTCTTACAAGCTTTCATTCTTGAAGAATTACTTCTTGCGCTTTTACACTGAAATCGTGGTGGTCAGTGATTGTCATGTAATGCATTCAGAAAGAGTTCCACACATGGACATCACTAGTTTATCAGCCATCAGAAGTTGATAACAAGTCCTAGAAAGCTTAAATTAGCAGGGAGAATATTGGGGTATTCACGACAAGTCTCATACATACATGTGGGGTTTGTGTAAAGGGTATCAAGTTACAGGCATATCTTTGTATGGAACTCTTTCCATGTATGCAAATGAAGAGTATTTTTGCTGTGTAGCATTCCTGCATGCATGATCTCTATACAGCTGGCCATATGTACATGTACATCACCTTCTGGCGTACATTACAAGGACATGTACAGTACCATTTAAGATATTAAGTCCTTTTTCTTCCTTTAGTCTTTGGCTCAGGAGGATTTTTGTAGATACATGTATGCAGCCTGAAATTGCATTGTGTCTGAAGGGATTGTATGGTCATGCAGATCCCCTGATCACACTCAAAATAGATATTCCAACATGTCCATGTAGCCCCACTCCAGCACCCCCCACTGGTACTTGAAAAGGATAAACTTGGCTTCAAGGTTCAATGTAGCCCTGCTAGTGTATAACCACCTGAGCCTGAATAATAACAGTCAAATGCTAATAACTCACTGAACAAACAGGTGTAAATATGGGGGTCACTGAACACTGCCTGCGCTCTTGTGCTCGCAAAAAACCACATGCACAGTACGTGCAAGTAGCACACATGAGTTCGGTGTTTCATTTTATGCCTTGAATAATTAACCCACTTCAGTTGGTGTGTGCTGTAGCTGGTATGGCGTTTATGTTGTTGACTTGTCAAAAGCACTGGTACCAAGTTCTTTTGGGAATTGGCCTTTTTAACAACCAAATACCTCCAAAAACATCCCGGTTATTGCAGCTTCTTTAGCTACTATGTACGGTAGAGGCAGTCGCTGTCAGAAAGATGTTCAACTGAAAATTAAAAGTAAATTTGTTTTTCCCCAGTTGTTTTTCACAAGACTTCCACATTGAAGATTCCCAGCTGACATGGGCTGCGTTTTTCTTTCTCTTCAGTGCCACAGAACAACATCCGTTGCCTGTCTGTTGAGCAGAAAAGAAATACATGTGCTTTCTAGAGGACGCCATCCTCACTGATTGGGAACAATGGTTGTGTTTCATCTATAAAGCAGATTTGAAAAAATATCCCCTCCCCCCAAATTTTGACTGCCTCAAGTGAGAACAAAGCAGCGTCAACAATGAGCAGCGGTGAAACGGCAGCCAAAGATGACAGCTGTCAGAAGATGCCATCCACAAGGAGTAAGAGCATAGATGACAGGTATGCTGATAGTAGTTGACTGTAATTCTGGATCTTGTTGATGCCATTGTTCACGCTGTTCATCAGTTGATGTTGTGGAAGCAGACAGTGTAGATGACTGGTATGTGGGTAATGTGCAGTTCATGATCTCGTTGTTGCCATTGTTGCCAGGTGATTCCGTGGATGTCATTGGTTATAATTCAAAAGGTTGTTTCTTGTTCTTGTGCTTGATTGTCATCCACGTTGATTGATCTTAGTTGAAGCAAGCGTGGTGTGTGATTTGATAATTGATTGTTTTGATTCACCACGCTGTTTTTCCTACCGATTGCTAAGAGCAAGAACTTGTAGGCTGACAAGGATTGTCACAGTGAAAAAAGTTGTTGTAAGACACATAAGATAATAAAAAGGACAAGTCACATTAGCAATAGTTATATTCATCAGTTTTTGCCATTTTATTATGTTCTACATGTGAATCAACATGCCTACTGTAATTAGAGGGAAATCGTCTGTCAGGTTTTCTTTGCAGTCCTAACCCACCGAATGCAATTGTTCACGAAGCCACTCATTTAATGAGTATGGTTGGGTTGAACCAGCTTTTCTTCCTGTTTGTACTCGCAAATGGATTAGAAACATCATCCACTGGTAATGGATATTAATTTTTTTTTGTGAAAACAAAAACCAAGACAAATCAACCACTTCCCTGGACCACATTTTGACTGGTAATACTACCCCTCACAGCCTACCCAATCCATTAAAAAGCAATTACAGATGCCCCCAGATAGGCCAAGAGCAGACGGTCATGTTAATCTGGCTTGAAAAAGAGGATATTGTGGTCAGAAGGCAAACACTGACCCACAATGTGTGGTCACCCTCGGCCAGCTGATCAGTGTGTGGCTGTCCAAATGTTGCCAGCATATGTTGCTTTTTTTGTGTTGAAGGGGGATTAGCCAAGCCTGGCAGTTAAAAAGTGGGAGCTCTGGTGACTAATTAATCAGCTGGTCATGGTGTATTTGGCTGCTGGGGCTTTGTTTGACATGTTTGCCATAGAATGTAATCAAGAACAAAGACCCAACCACTGGCATTTTGCTCTGGTATGAAAGTCCCATTTGTTCATGCCATGAAACAAAGGCAGTCGTCTTGGCCAATTTTATTTCGAATGAATAGAGCTTCATACGTATTCTGCAATTTATTTTCTGAGGAATTAGAATTAGTTAAAGAGAAGCTGATTTGTACTTTGGCTTCACTGATAAAACTTGCTTACTTGTAAATGTACATGTACCATTACGCGCATTGCTATTCATGTTGAAACTATTTTTTTTTAAGTGCAGTGCGTGTGCTAACAAGGTCTCTGATAATTTTGGCACTTTATCAAATTTTAATTGCCATGTCAAATCCCAGTTCATGTAGATGATATCAGTGTTGTAGTTGAGACCATCACAAAACCTTTCACAAGACCAGCTCAAGGTAGAAATTATAAGACACAGTCTTTAATACGTATACTTCTTGAACTGACACTGTTTGCCTGTGGGCTAAGCTACATCGAACACAACGCAGTCTATTGCAAGTGTGCGATACTGCATGTACTGCGTGCAATAATGCAATGTACACGTACACTGTACATGTAGGCGTTCTGCCGATGACGTCATGAAATCAGCCTGGGAGCGCGAAGGGCCAAAAGGGGACTTGTGGGCGGGGAAACACAGGATCTTTTTATTCATTTTGGGGTCATTTGTGATGTGTTTGAAATGGTTGCATATTTATTGTTATTTTGAAATACTGCACCATGTTCTTGTGAACTAAATGTTTTCAATTTCTGTTAACCTCGAGGTCTCGACTACAACACTGGTAAATACAGTGTACAGAAAAACAGTGGAATGCTGGGTTAGAATCCCTCCTTTTCCTTTGTGTCCTATTTTGATGAGCCTTGATGTGCCACTGAATCATCACCTTTTAGGATACTTTTACCATTGTAAACCATTTTCCACTGGCTTTTTCCCCTGTTGGGCTGCTTTCCCCATCAAGCAGGAAAACCTGCTGGGTCTGCTTTGCCACAGAGGATGACGATCGGCTGGCACGGTGGACCAAGCCCTGCCGCTGTCGGGGCACCACCAAGTGGGTGCACCAGATCTGCCTGCAACGGTGGATCGACGAGAAGCAGCGGGGGAACAGCACGGTCAAGGTGTCATGCCCACAGTGTAACACAGAGTACATCATCATCTACCCGGAATTAGGTGGGTACCAGCTTGTCATGCAGCAAAAATCGTTCGAACACTGTACCCCTTCACCTCTTCCCCCCCCCACCATTTGGGTTAATCTTCTTAGTGCTGTAGTTGACGATAGCCCAAAGAGTTCACCGAACTTCAGAATTAACACATGTACCGGTACTACTTCAGCCTGCAAAAGTGTGTTCACAATACTCTGCAGTGTGCATAAACTTGCATGTGCTCTGTGGCTGTACATGTGCATTAACATAATGCTTGAACACTAGTCTGAAGGTTCACATTTAAATACAGTGTGGATTTGGGTATGCATTTATGGAGATTGCTTGGAAATATGGTATACATGTACATGTACAGTGTATACATATGCCATGCATGTAGGTCTGTAGGTAGGAGGGATTTTTCTTGTTCTCTTCATGGACAACCCTTTATGCAAATGTACTTGTGTGCAATTTTTCATAGTGCACACACGTTTTTTCATTGTCATCAAAGACCATTCTTGATTGTTATAGTTTATATGGTGGGCACTTTATGGATGGCCCCCTTTTATTTAATTCTTCAGTATGTACTGAAGTTTGTTCACTTTCGCACATCTTTATGGTGAATTTTACTTCTCAAACTGATTTTCAAGTGCTTTCTGTGAGAATGGGACAACAATTTCTGCCCATTCGGGCATCCCACACTAATAAATTTTGTGGTCTTTTCGTAAGAATGTGATGTTAAAATTGAAGCTGTAGTAGGGTTATATCTTGTGGAACACTTCAATCAACTGCGATCGTGAACAGCACTGCCAAAAGCTTTGCTTGGCAAAACTAAGAAGGCTACATACGTGTAGTAAGAAATGCTGGAATCATGTAGGCCCATAGGCCCTATATCTTGGGATTTCAGGTTGCATATTGAAGTCACCGCTTCCTGGTTCTAGGAGGCCACCCCTGCCTGTCTATACACAGTGTTAAACCAGTGTGAATTAATATACATCAGGGTCCACACAAAGCAAGCATTGTTGCATTGCACTGTTTAATCGTTCATAGCACTTAGAGTGATTGATTTTGGAACATTCTCAGTATTAAGACAAATGTGGCACTGGTACCTGTCCTTGCAGGTTCCATTGTGTATATCCTGGATGTCCTGGACAGACTTATTTACAAAGTGTGCCCCTTTGCGGCTGGGGGCATCGTTGTTGGCTCCGTCTACTGGTCAGCCGTCACCTACGGTGCAGTGACAGTCATGCAGGTGCTGGGCCACAAGGAAGGGCTGGACGTGATGGAGCGGGCTGACCCGCTGTTCCTCCTGATTGGCCTGCCCACCATCCCCGTCATGCTAATCCTGTCCAAGATGATCCGCTGGGAGGACTACCTGCTGCGCCTCTGGCGCAAGCACTCGCCCAAGCTGCCCTTCTGGAGCTACTTCTACCCGGAGCTGGGCGGCGGCATACTGCCCCGGGTGCCCACAGAACTCATGCCCATGGCCGACCCCATCTCAGCCACCCGGGTGCTGTGTGGGGCACTCATCTTCCCGACCATCGCCACCATGTGTGGGAAGCTCATGTTTGGGTCGCTCCACTCCAATCTACAGAGGACAGTGCTGGTACGTTACACATTACCGTAGTCCCTACAGTCCTCAATTCTCCACCTGCTTTTCAATTATGCAGATGTACATGTACGTGTCTTGAATGTGTATTAATGAGCTTGCATGCCCTAACCCCATATTAACATAGTGCTTTTAAAGTTTTTGCACCAAATGTTCTCCATTCTGGCTGTTGGAAAGTTTGAAATAACTCCAAAATATGAATTTTTTTGGTTTTCCACCTCTACAAAGTGGTGAGGGGATGATCTAATGGCTCCTCTCCCCTCCCTCCTCAAGATTAGGGCAGGAGGGGGTACCCCATACGCCATACCCCCAGAGTTCATGTACATGTATTTGTGTCCTTTTTTTTCCACCACGCAAAGTTCTCCTTGGTGACATGTATGTGTCTGGCGTGGTAGTCCCTTGAATTGTCTCTTCACCCTGAGGCGGAGGAAATGAGTTTTGCCTGCTGTTTTCCCAGACCTGTTCCGTTTGTCAGAATCAGGATTTATATGTCTTCCTGCGGTTCAGCGCTTAGGAACAAAACATGAAGTGGCCCCAACAGAAAAGTAGGTTATGGGGACCTTTGGCTGGCTGTTGTAGATGTACTGGGTATGATGTTGAGCTAAAACTGCTGATGAGCCGTTCGCAGTTCCCAGCGGATGACTAGGCATTTTTTACACTAAAAAGTGTGTTAGCCTCCATCACCACTGGTTTATTCCTGTGATGAATAATGCTGGTACATAAACACGACTTTGCATTATCCACAGTTGGAATCAGCCATGCGTCAGTACAATTCCATTCCTCATTCCAGGGAGAGTACATGTGACACCTACCAGTACCTCTGTGAGGTTTCAAACTCCCACTAGTATTTTGATGTGTGTGTGCATGAAATTTAACTTTTAGTGATCAGTCGTGACGATGAATCACAGTTCTCATTAAACTGTTGTTTGCTTTAATAATTTATTACAAAATAGTCTTCAAAATTGCTCTGAAGCCTTGTAACGTTGACCCTGGGAATCAAGGCTCAGCTGCTTCAGACGAGAGGCTGCGGGTAGATAATACCCACTTGGTGATGCGTAGTGTGTGCGCCAGAGAATGTGTGGGCTTATTTAAGAGTTTGTCTTGCCACTCTCTAATGACGAACTGATCAAGCAGCTTTGAGAACCTCCTCATCATAGGGATAATACGTTTACATACATGTACATGTTCCCCCATCTGCACGGCCCCAAAAACACTGTCAATATCACATCACCACAGGATGTGGACACCAATCGAAGAATAAGGTTGCTTTATGCTCGTGAAGCCCTTTTACACGATGGCAATTGAGCATTATCCAAGCTGCTGGTCACAGAAAGTGCAGAAGGCCACTTTGTTTTGTGCAGTGGCTGGCCAAATGCTTCTGCCATTACGGGGGGGGGGGGTTGTCTGAGTGTGTCTATGAGTGAATGGGTTTTTGGATTTATGAACTGAGCCATAGCAACCCGAGGGCTTACCAGTATGAACATGTACATGTACATTATAGATTTATAAAAGTACATGTAGATCCTAACATGTATATGTCAGTCTGTCAGCATACTAAAAACTTCATGAACAGCTCAGAGAACACATCCGCATACATTTACATGTACACTGTGCATGCATGTACCTCGACAGGTACCATGGTGTATTACTGTATGTTCATTGTAAGTCATGAGTTATTTTCAGCACATAGCCTAATGTCGTTTAAGTACTGTGTGCCATCCTTTGTTTTTCTCTTCTTTTTCCCCAATGCAACCTGCCCGGTTTCTCTTTTGTCTCCACTAGGGTGGGATAGCATTTGTCACAATCAAAGGGGCACTCAAGGTTTTCTACAAGCAGCACCAGTACCTAAGGCAAGCGCACCGCACCATCCAGGACTTCCCCGAAGAGAACGGCCAGGAGCCTGCCCAGTGAGACCCACCACAATTTCTGGTTGGGCTTCTGTGGAGAATTTCAGCGAGATGATCATTTTTGTAACCACTTCAGTTGATTTGCTTTCTTAAAAGCACAAGCAGAAATCTGAGGACTTTGCATGCACTGAAAGATTGTTTCCTGTGTGTTTAATACTCCAGCGGCAAAAATATGTTATAAAAAAATCTGACTCTTTCCACTTGGAGTCGAATGCCCCAGCCATTTTGTCAGGAACCTTGTTCCAAGAATCTGCTGTTGTGCTTGAAGCAGTCTTTGTATGCTTGCCTCAATGGCTTCAAACCCAATCTTTAGAGCACCTAGTGGTTTTGCTCCACCGTCTTCAATCTTGCGAAATCCTCTGAATGCCTCCTGTTCAATTTTGACTGAAGAGTTTGGAAAAAAAAATATATATGCAAAATCATTAGTGTTGCCAAAGGGGTGCAGAGTGGCAAAGTGAAACAGGCTGCTGTTTGTTTTCAATGTGTTAGAGCTCTACCATATCTATTCAGTGAGCAATACTTTTATGTCACCTTTATCATCTTAGTCCTTTTTGCCTTCGTACATTATTTCTTGTGTAATGTGATCTTTGTCATGATTTGGTTTTATTTTTTCCTCTAATTTGTGTAGTAATAGACTAACTGTAAATATTATGCTGTACACATGGCTTTTAAACGATATTTGTATTAAAGATAATTTCAGTTTATACCAAGTTTTGTTTTTCTTTCAAGACTGACTACAACACAGATAGTTACTTCATTTCAAGCCCCAAGTGATGGATGTTAGCTTTTTGTTTGTTTTTGCTTTTGTGTCATATTGCTTGTTGGATTACGTGTGGTTGATCTGTGCTCACGTTTTAGATGACTATGAGTGAAAACTGTAGAAAATAATTTGAAAGTTTATTTCTTGATGAAATTTGGGGGATGGGTGTTTTTGCTTTGCATCATATTGAGAATGAGGACTGCCATACAAAGAAACACAGGGGATTCATAGTTTTCCTTGAGAGGTCCTTAGGTTTGAAAATGTTTTCCCTCTCTATTGGGTAGTAGAACATAAGAACATCGGAAGGGCCCAATGCCTTCTCAGAAGGAATTGCACAGGTGGTGTACATTTTCATGTTTGTTTCCTGTTTGTGTGACCTGTTGTTTTGATTTTGAAACTGAAGCAGTTCTTCCTGATTTTTCACACTTCTGTGACCTGAAAAATAATAGAAAAAAAAAAGACTGAAAAAGGCGGGATGACTGAAGTTGAGGTTTGGAACCAGTCTGTGCATTGTGAGGGTAGTGGGTGTTGAATTGATGTAACTACTGCAGACCCAAACTCACCACTGTCTGGTTAACAGGGCTGTGAAGCAGCTGGGTATGAGTGCAAGAAGTAAATGAATGTAAAAGTACATGTACTCATATATGCATAGCTGTTTAGGATAAACAACTTCGGTATACAGGTTTTCATCTTTCTCTAAAACTTGAGCACATAATTGCAAGTTTACTTCCCACAGGTTCAGTGTATGAAGTGGAAAACAGTCTCACATCGGCACTGTTATGTTTTGATTTTGTGTGTGTTTGTGGGCCAACGTCACACACATGTACCTAGTGTGGACTTATGAACAAAAGATGTCCACATGATGTAGGTAGAGAAGACATTCCGTGGATTTACCCATGTCCACAGGATATTTATCCTCAAAACAAACATTTAGAGGCATTTTGGGCTTAGGTTTATAGTGGTAAAAAGAAGAGGAACGATCAAGGAACCATTTTATAAAAATTCGGCTGAAAATTGCATTCACAGTGTAAAAAAAATAACTTTTTTGGTACTGAGTTTCCTTAACTGCATGAAAACGAAGAAATGTCCACACTAGGTATGGAAAGTAGGCGTGTGTGGGTGTGTTTGTGGAAAGCTTTTGTATTTGGAATTCATGTGTTGATTTGTTTAAACCATTTTGATGCTGCAAATATAAACTAGACTTGATTCAAGTCTGGGATGTTTACCCTTTGGTGCTCCCTTCTTCTCATGTTGGATAAGGAAGAAGGCAAAAAGAAGACTGTTTTGTCAAATAAAGCTGGTCAAGGGTGCTGGCTGATCTCACATCAGCCAGGGACCTAGTGGCATCTCAGACTTGACTTCAAGTCTACATATGTACATGTGCACGTGAATGATTAGTTTCAACCATCTCAGATTTGTTTTATTTCCATCGTATGTTTACCGGCACATGTAGTTGTTTCAGAACAGTCATTTATGCTTACCAATTGTACATTAGGGCTGTGATACTGGTTTATTTATTGATTGTATATATATTTTGAAATGTACATAAATTAGCCTCTGTGGCATGCCGAGATTCAGGCAAATGCGAACTTCAACAAAATTTCTTACAAAATTGACATACTAAGCATAAATGAACTGAGTGCCCGTCACCTGCACTGTGTGCTTGCATGGGATTTTGGCAGGTAACCTGCTACTTCTAAGCAAGAAAATATTGTGCTGAGCGGCTCATTGAAATTTGCTGCTGTGCTGCGCAACTTTTCCTTGGAATGGGAATTGAAATCTATTGACAGAAAAAAAAGGGTCTTGAAAAACTTTGCAACCCATGAAACAAAGACAAGGAATTACTTTTAAAAAATCAGAGAATTTAAACCTAAAAAGTAATGAAACAAAACTTCACACTACCTTTCTCTCCCATTCATAATGAGAAATGTGACATTTCAGTTAATATTTCATCTTATTTACCCTGGTGTATAAAGACAAGAAAACAATTTTATTTGATGTCAGAAGAGAAATTTGGGGTTGATGTTCGAGTGAAAAGTTAAAAATGTGTTTGTAGCTCAGTATAGAATCCCTCATCAACAAATTGAGCTCAGGAGGGGCACTGAAGTGCATGGTATGGCTTTGCTTGGCAAAGTTTTAAACATACATGTACATGTACTTTTCGTTTCACTAAAATATTTTCACGCCCAGCAGATGTTCCCTTGATTGTATATTGTGCAAGCTCACATGTAGTTTCATTTTATGCTATTTCTTTAATTCCAAAGATTTAGACTGTATTTCATACTGTATAAATAAAACACTTATTATTGTATGGAGTTTCTTTGCACTTTGAGACCTAACTTAGATGTATATTTCCCCCCAAATGCCTGAACGAATAGTAGAAAACACACGAAACTATAGAGTTGCATTTCCTTTGTTTTAGGAAGGGATTTACCATTGAATCTGGAACCCAATTAAATTTTCACTTTTATAACACCATCAAGTGCTTATTCCCAAAATCAGGGCTTTAAAACCAAATACTTTTTCCCAACAAGTCTGCTCTGTCTGCACTTCTGTGACAATCCTTTAAAATGTCAGACCAGCATTCATGTGTGCATAGATACTTGATTTGAAATGTTGCGTATTACTTCTGCCTTGTAGTCTAACACGAAGTTAAGCAGCTAGAAGTTCCAAGAGCTGTTTCTGTCACTGCAGTAGATACCTGAACAAAGATGTCCTGAGGTGCTTTTTGAATTTCCAATTTTTTTTAGTGTAATTAGAAAATGTGCAGTTTGATATTTTCCTGTTTGTGCAATGTATATTAATCGACTTTCATAGGATAGTGGCTTTTACAACTTAACCACTGATTTACCCTCTCTACATTGACAACTTCTGAGCAGTTGCATACAGGTGCATATACAAACCGCTATCCGCTTTCGCTGTCAAAGCTCCAATGTCTGTCATGATATCCTCATGTTTTTCTAACCCTGGGCAGCCAGATTTATGCGGCATACTAAAATTACTTTGAGGACCTGGATGGATGAATGGATAGGTTGTCACTTCAAGGAAAACAAAACCAGGGGAGGCATTGAGGAATGCTTTCTGCTCTGGAATGCTAACCAGTTCGTAGTGGGATGCCTTTAAAATAGGACTTGATTGATCAGAAAACATTAAGAGAAACCATGCAGCAGAACTATGCTGTTTTTGTGATTTTTGTTTGAGAGGCGTGTCTGTATGTTCTCATAGACCATGTCAAGCTATTTGACTAGTAGCAAACGGAATGTGCTCTATTTCTTTCAGTTGGGGGGGGGAAGCTGCAGTGGGAAGTCTTCAATTTTGTTTGTGGATTTCGTAATTCTTGGTATTTCCATGAATCAACTAGGGAGAATTCCACATGGATTTGGCATACCGTAAAAACAAAACAACAAAACGTGCATGTCTTTTTTTTTTTTTTAGAAATTGCACTTAGTTTGCTTTGCATTCATTACATGATTTGTTATTTGTATTTATGTTCCATTTGCAAGGTAGCACTAGCCAAGTTTCAAACTCTGGTTTGATCCAAAGATACCAAAATACCATCAAATATACAGATGTTCCTAAGTGAATGTCATGGAGGAGAACACCAACTCTAAGAGGAAACATACACCTCATCACAGCAGTCGACCCGTGTTCCAATGGCAAAGGGAAAATAGAAAACGAAAAGCTCATTTCTTGTCATGATTTCTTTAATCATTACAGCTACGTACATATACATTGCACTGCATGGTTTATCACAGAACAAAGAGGTATGTAATGAAATCTTGCATATTGTTGTCTAAGCATCGTGGATTTTGAAAAGAAAAAGAGAAATATTTACACTGCATAAATTTATTCTACCTGAATGGTAACAAGTGAGGATATGCATTGTCAACGACATAACATGAAGCATAGGCAGATGGGGGCTATTTTATGGAATTAGGAGAATATGATCAGCAATGTACAGGGGCATTTGCACTGCTCAAAATATAAGTTTTAGGTTTGCCAGGAAGTGCTTATTATGAATAAGAAAACCCACTGAATATGAAACCTATTCTGATTCCCCCCACGTCCCCTGAATGGGGGTCCCATTCTGAGTTTCCTTTATGGAATTACATTTAGATGTAGAAAGGAAATCACAGGAAACAATGTGTAAAACCACCATATGACGGCAATTCAAATTCAGAGAAGTTTACTTTTTCCAACTTGTTACCAGATTTGAGTGCCTATCTAGTTCTAGTTCTTTCATGGTGCATTTTCTTTCCACAGGGGAAAACTACACACAACAATGTACATTTTGACAAACACGTGTACACTTAGAAATGGTTAAATGGACCCTTTAGCTACTGTCACCTTCAAGGTCTTTTCCTTGTAGTTGTACATTTTCAAACGTAACTTTTATTTTCACACCAAAAACTTCCGGACTGCAACATGAGTTAAACCAAATGATGGTATTTAGTTTGGCCGCTTTTTGTTGAACTAAAATTTGTATTTTTTTAGCCAGCAGCAGATAGTATTTTTCTTCAATAAGTCAGCTGCACCAGGGAGGGATGTTTATGATAGTTTTGGTGCATCATGGAATGAGTACCATCTTAGACTTTGTAAACATGATGCAACAGTTCATGAGGCAACTGATAAATTCCTTCCACTGGAATGGGGAATAAAAACTTGATTAAAAAGAAAGACTACTGCGAGGCTCTATTCCAGTTGCAAAATGGATGTTGATTTTTACATGCAGGACTGGTCTGAGGGTGCTCAAGTCGTGGCAAAACTTTACTACTGGCGGGAAATGATAAAGATGCAACAAGCCCCTTGACCGTCATTTGCAAATCAAACAATCCCTCGTTTAAAAATCTCAGGTCTATTGGAGCAGTGACATGAACCCTAACAATCCTCAATCCTCCAACAGGTGAAGGATTGAGGAGTGTTAGGGTTAATCTTGACTTCTAGTTCCAAATGCATTTGAAAAAGATTCTCCTAGGATCGAAACATCAGGCCCTCAAAACTTTTCTGCGTTAGAAAACTACCTGGGCCAGCGTCACTGAACAGAACATGCGATGCAGCCAGACTTCTGAAATTATGGCCTCAGAGCATAATTACCCCTGCCCCCCCAATTCCAATCACCACTGAAGCACCATTAAACCCTCACAAATTCTAATGCTGGTTGCTGTGAAAAAACTGGTACTCATACTCGGAGACATTTTTTGGCTGTTCTCATACTCGTGGAATTGTTACTCAACAACTAGAACGTTGGAATACCTGTACTGCTCGCACTCTCCCAGGTATATTTGGATAAATCACGGTGTGACAGTAATCATAACCACACTTGTGCACACCCGTACTTTTCGGAATTCATTCTCAGATTGGTGGAAATGTACTCAACTACAACCACACTGATACATGGATGCTTATTTTCATACTCGTACTCATTTTAATTGAGAAACAATTCTTGTTGACAAGAATGTCGATCCTGTTCTGTGAGGACGCTTTTCCATCGTTCATCCATGACCAGCTGCGCTCCTATCAGGCAACATGCTGTAGGTTTTTTGCATACTGACACACTGTAATTGAATATTTAAAAGGGATAAATGCCCTATGCGTAATAATTTGCCGTAATAAACAAAAGGAATGACTATAAGGACATTTTTGCCTCATCTATAACTTGGATTTAGCGCTGCTGTTGTAGGGCTCGGGGAGGGGGAATAACGGCAGGCCCGTCTTGAATCCTGTGATATCTTGAACAATGATCGCCTGAAAGAGGAAAGAAACCAAAACTCCACAGAGTGAGATATTAATTGAATGTCTTGGGTAAATCACAAACTGAAGGGATAAGTGAACATCCTAAGTGCCCCATACTTCATTCTTTCTAAACGACAGGACAGATAAAGTAAAGCTTCTGTCACTGATATGCTCAATGCATGCGGGCCAACAGGTGTGACGCCATAAACCTTCAATGACCATAACGTCAAAACCGTGTCAAGATACATTGAAATTTTACATTTTTACTGATAGTGAGCATCTTTACAAGCGAACTAAGTTTCAAAACGATGGTGCATGTAACCGTCAGATCTCAGGGGAGTGGAATCCCCCTCCCCTGGCTGTGAGAATTGTCTAGAAACCTGGCTCTCGAAGGTTTAAAAGTCAGGTTTTCATCGTTAAAAAGAGTGCACAGGCAATTTCTTAATGTTTCAGCTTTACCTACATAATACCTCCATGTAAGATGAACAGACAGCAGGAATGTGGAATTGAAACTACTTTTAGGGTGAATTGAAAGTTGCCAAATTCATGAACGGCTACCCGTCTTACACTCAACCCAAAACATATGGAATCGTCCATATACTTCATGATCACTGATTAACCACGTACATGTATTAAACAATGCCATCAAGTGCCCATTAGCCAAAGAGAGGGCTGGCAGCATGCATCTGACACATACTTGTATACTTGGAATGCAGGGCCATGCGATGTGCTCGGGACCTGTACACAGATGCTGTACTGTTGGTTTCTGTCTTGTGTCAGGGCTTAGTGAGGCAACGGGGTGTCTACATCTGAACTTTATCTTTGTCTCCTACTTTACCTTATTTTCCCTCCCCACCTGACTGTTCAGTTCAATAAAAAAAGTCATGTTTTGCTAGACAAACTATTTGTATTTAGTGGAACGTTATAAAGCTACAATGGTTTTGACGAAAGTAAAGAAGGCCGAGACAGATATGGAGCCGAGATATAATTCGGGGACCCCCCTTGGTACCAGGGAAGGGTTGGGGGGGTGTAGGAGCTTCCAACCTGCGGCAGTGGAGGGGTGGGTAGCAGGTCCATGCTGTTTAGGCTTGCCAGGTCTGGCTGGTCCCCATCCAACTGGTCCCCGGCCCCCTCCAGGTTGGATGATGGGTCCACAGGGGGCATGATGTGGATGGACATTTTGTGGCGGTGTGGCGCATCCACGGCCAGGAGGTCCTCGAAGAATGTCAGGATGTCCTCCTTCTTCAGTGTTTTGAGGTAGGCCACTTCTATATTGGCTGATGGAGTAAGGAAAATAAAGATTTTTCTCTTAAAACCATCACGTTCTGTTACAGATCCCAAACTCTGTTTTTTCCCAAATTTCATGAGATCCCTGAGTATGTAGAAAACCAATGGCAAATTCTTTGCATAGTAACTTTATGGGGAATCAAGGCCCAGTGTGTAGTATAGTGGTTAGGTTCTACATTCCCTAAGCCTCAGAAAATCCCAAACACCCCACTCCTCATGGAATTTAATGGATATGGGAGGGGTAGGGTTCAAAATGACACCAACGTTGTGCGGCGACCAATGCAATGGCACAGCTGCAATTGAGTCCATGACACGTTCAGCCAAAAGAAATAGGGTGAACAATGACACAGGAATGCATCTGTTGTAGTTCATTTGAATAGAGTTAGCTAGAGATCGGAATGTCATGGACTCTCTCGGGGGCTTCTGATGGACTCAACCACAGCCCTAATTCAATAGTACCTGGTCTGTCCGCATGACACAACTGGGGACCTTGAGCTCAAAGCAAACACAGGCTTGCCCTGGCACTGGGATGATGTGGTCAGGGTCCCAAAAGAAATCTGAAAACCAAACTCAAGGACTTTTCTAGGACTTTCCAGTACTATAACAATTTCTGAGACATTTAATATCATTTAACTGAGACAAGTTGTTTGGTATTATGACCTACTACAGACTGACAAAGACAGCCTGTAAATTTATCATTATTCTCTTATCACATCGAACACGGATTGCAGTATATAAGAAAGAAAAAAAAATTTGCATGATCTTGATTTCAATGAAATTTTCCTGACTTTTTTCCTCTGACTACGGTATTCCATAACAACCTATTTATCCACCCCTCCCACTTTCCATGACTTTTCAGGACAACTGTTTCCCAGGATTTTCCAACTCTGCATGGTTCGCTATGACATACCTCTGTCAAAGTTATACTGCTTGGAGGTGATTTCTGACCAGTATCGCCCGGCCTCGCTGGCCAATCTCTTCGGTTTCTCTAGCCTCCGCACAGCAAGTGCGTTCACGTGCTTCTGGAAAGCCTCCTCCGAAAGCTCCTTGATGTACGTCTGTGGATGAGAATGAAGTCTGACTGACATAAGTATAGATGCAGATATCAAAAACTTTCTTTTTCAGTTCTTGCTTTATCCTGAATGGTTCTTGAGCCTGGCATGCTGGTAAGGACATAAGGTTGCGGGATAATTAACAAATTTTCAGGGGTCGATGTAACTTAGCCTGAGATAATGAAACAAGTCCTGTTTTACTTTTAACCATTTTTGGAAGCAGAATAAACATGGTTTCCAATATAAAGTGCAACCAAGAGGTTTCTTAGGAGAGGCTAATTTTGCAGTGCACTGTGGGAAAAGCAGATGACATCAACGCATTAACTGGTACTAACAAAGGCTCAAGAATCTTTCACTCCGTTTGGAAGAGGGGTTTTAACAGGCGTAAAGTATGGAGGCTTCAGATATTGCTTACAATAAATATTAAAAAATCTTCTCTGCTTGGATGGGGAAGAGAGGGTTTTTTGAAGAGGGGTGTAGTTATGAATGGGGGAGAGAGTTCGTGTCCTACCTGCATACTGAGTAGGAAAGCCTCGATTCTGTTGTCCAGATATTGGGGTCTCTTCTCTGATTGGATGATGAACCTCAAGCCTTGAACGCCATTGGATCGCCGGACACCGCTGAATACAATATAACCTGCCAACGAGTTTCATTGGAAAAACCACGTCTCAATGATTAGCAGCATCGCATGATGAAAATGACAGGAAAACACTACATATTGTCATTGGACGTCTTGATGCACAGTTCTGATATGTGAGGACCTTAGGTCAGGGTAGCCCCTATAACAAGTTTTACTTTGCGACTGGCCCTACCTAGCTGTTCCTTGGTTCTCAGTGTGTCGAAGCACGGCTCGCTGATGATTTGGCAGAAGAGTTCCAGGAGCATGTTGCTCCTTGTTGACTGCACGTCTGTCTGGTAGTAGACCTCGATGCCGGAGGAGCTGTGAACATCGTTATGGCGGTGGTAGTTGTAGAAACAGCCTGTGAACAAAGGACACGAAACAAAATGAGTGCTGTTTGTGTAAGAAATCAAAACAGGTCCCTTAGTCTTTCACATGCGACCCAACCTAATAAAATGAGTGGGAGGTTTAACAGAACTACTACTGAATTGAAAGCCTTCCAAAGAATCTTTCACAATGCATATCAACGCAAACTCTCTACATTTTGCACTTACACAATATCCATTTGAGGTGATATACCTCAAAGCAATGAACTAAGCTTGCTCTTTTTCGTGCAAACTACAGCAAAGACATAGCTTTACGGCTGGATTTTGTATGCTCTGGTCACGTATCTACTCAGTTCCCAGCCACAATGATAGTGCTCAGCGCAGATTTGATCTTGACATCAACAATTGAAATCAGTAACACTGAAATCAAAGTGTAACTGAATGAAAGAGCACCATCATTTCCCAATCAAAATCCTTGTCAGAATGGTTAAGCAGATCCATGGACAGAATCCATGGGTCATAACGTTGCTTTTTTTTGACGGTTGAGGGGCTACCATGCAGCGAGCAGCATACAGGAGGGAGTTGTACATTTCACTGACTTACCGTCCGGGAGCTGGATCTCTCTGTGTCTTGCCAGCTGACTTGGGAGAAGCGGTTTGCTGTTGCCCTGCTCCTTCAAGATGCTCTCCACCATCTCCAGGGCATTAAGGGCTTGCTGCGTAATCAGGAACGATTGAACAAAAAAAGGACCACTTAGACTGAGAATTATCTTCGGTCGTAAGTAGCTGACAACAAGCTGTTGTAAATTTGCTCAGAAAGACGGCAAGAGGAAAAGTGTCACTATCAAATTTGTGTTGAGGAAGTTTTTAGCACTGTCTGAGATTGGTCCATCATATTAAGGTTGAAGCTCACTAAATTTTCTTTCTAAGAATGATCTGAGGACTCTGCATGATGGGAGCTGCTTTCCTTTTTTTTTACCTGTTTGGTCATGTTGCCATGGATGAGGGCCTCCACATGAAGCCTGGACATAAATTGAGGAATGAACAACTTCAGTCGTTCTACTGTCACCTCTGTTCAAACAAACAAAATGAGGGCTGGATTAGGATATGAGAGAGACTCAACAAAACGTGACCATAAAGTCAACTGTATCAGATTGATAAAGCATCTATCAGTGTTGTAGTCAAGCCTATCATAAAGTTCCTCCAACGAAACCAGTCATAAATAATAGGGTGCACAATGACAAAGGAATGTTTCATATCGCAGTTCATTTGCATAGCCTGTGACTTGGCTTGAGACTGGATGACTTGTGACGGACTTGCAGGGACTTGTGAAGGACTGGACCCAAACGCTACTGTCTGCATACGTGTGTGCTTACCGTCAATGCATTCAAACATTTCGTCTTTTGTCCAGGCTAGCTCTGACATGAGAACCGATGTGTAGTACACGGCGTGCTGGTGGGGCTGCTCTGCCCGGAAATTCTGCAGCATCCTGGAGTACTGGAAACACAAACAAGCGCACAAATCAGCACTGAGTCAATCTCGTAAAAGTGGCTATGCCTCTACATGGGGGACACCTGACTTGTTATGGTTCATGCCACACACTGGGTCGCACTGACAATGAGAAATGCTTGCTCACTGTTTCTTTGATGACCTCAAATCGGTTGACGTCAATCTCAAAGTTAGTCATCTTCTCCAGGATCTTCTTGAGCAGCAACATTTGTTTGTCGTTGTAGCCTCCCAGTTGAATCTGTGGGGCAAGAGAGCAACATATTGATAATATGTCATGCATTCAGCTATGGGTCAGGAAAAGCCATTTTCAAATTGCAGGTGCCTGGTTGAATGGTGTCATGCTTCACTGCTGATCCTAAACCAAAGTAATTTTGAATAAAGAAAAAATACTGTCAAAAGTCAATGGTATGACTCATACTGGTGAGCAAAACTGATCCAGTCTGTGTTACATATGAACAAGGTCCTAGTATAGTCGTAATGATGGAAGAGTCCTGTTTAGAAGCACGGAAAGACTGTAATTAAAAAAAATGAAACAGCTAGGCAAAACTTGGAAAAGTAACTGTAACATGTCTAATTATCTTTCGTATCCCTTCACACCACATTCTAACTTCAGGAAGCAAATGGAAACTTTCAACACTTCCAAAAAATCTTTTAGGTGGGAATGGATTTGGTCCGTACAAAAATGTTGCCAGAATCAGCCAGAACTCCAATCATTCCACACTTACGTTGATTCCGTAGACTGTGCTGTCTATGTTGTAGTTGATGTTCGCCAGCTCGGCGGCGTAGGCGTACTCGTTGAGAGAGTCGCGCAGCAGGACAGCAAAGAGACAGGTCAGGTTGCAGTGCAAGGGGTCCATGTAGGCTAGCGGGCTGTGGAGGAATGACAGCAGTGATATAGTGATGGGGATCACGGCCTTGGGGCCAACTGCACAGAACTGGACACCACGTGGTTAATTCTGCACACAGTGGGTTCGAGATCAGCTTGACCAGATGTGGTGTGTGTGTCCTCAGGCAAGACACTTTGTCACAATTTCAGTCTCCTGACGATGGGCAGGGCATACTTTCCAAGATGTCTCACATTATTTAATAATGTGAGACATCTTGGAAAGTATACTTCTCCCAACCCTGGAGTAAAATGAGTACCAATATTTTTGGGGTCCACCTGTCTCATGGGAAAAGAGGTGAGAAAAGCATGTCTGATTTTCACAAACTTGGTGCCAAAATGACCCAAAATGACATCCATGGAAAAGGCTTGGTATGATTACAAAAATGCAAGGCAACAGAATTAGAGAGAATGAAATTGGTGGGACAGGGGGAGACAGAATCTCTCCCCCAACTCTTTAAAAGAATGAAATTTGGGAGGGGGATGTGAGAGAGGTATGCTTTGTTTAGAGTAATTTATGAACAAAATTTCTAACCTGGCTATCTCCATCATGGTGCAGACTTTGGGAAGAAGGAACGTGTCATCCTGTTTGAACCACAGCAGGGTGAAGGGTGTGTCCTTGATGAGCGTAGGCAGGGCTATCCCCGATGCGCCCCGGGGTGCGTCCGGGCAGTCCTCCTCTCGGGGGTAGATGTCAAAGTTGGTGGCAATGAACTCATTCCTTGAGGGGAGTTTGAACATGTCATGCAGGCCAGCATCCTTCCAGCCCTGCTCGAGCAAGCACAGGAGCGGAGAACAAGCCACAGGACACTTTAAGCGTTACACACCTTGTGTGGACATTCCTTTGTTTCCGAGTATTTGAGAAACCTTGATGAAGCTACTCATTTCTCTTGCACTGTGAGACCTATGTCAAGCTGCATATTTTGTTGATGGTCTCCTTAACTGTTATTTTTCTGTATGCTACAAGTAACCCTCGTCCCAAAATGACTCTAAACCGATTTTTTTTTCAGAGAGGGCAGGTTCATCTTTCGTTTTCAGGTCCGAGGGGGTAATACAATGCCAGTACACAGTTTCATGTCAAATTGGGTGACACAAAAAGAATTTTGGCTGCAGACTGCTCTCTGGTCTCCATAGTGCCTGGGCACTATGGAGACTTGTGCATACCAGGAATTTTCCATATCACAACTTCGTCTCCGTGTTAGGCACTGTCTCTAAAACCAAACCTACTGCAGGCCTATAATGGTGAGCCAATTAAAAATGCTTTCATCCTCGTATCCACTGCCTATAATGGCCTATAATGGTGAGCCAATTAAAAATGCTTTCATCCTCGTATCCACTGCCTATAATGGCCTATAATGGTGAGCCAATTAAAATGCTTTCATCCTCGTATCCACTGCATCTACATGTAGTTTTGGCTCTCTACTGAGTCCCAAACTCCAAACTGGGGGGGGGATGGGAAAAACTGGGCCAAGCTGGTGACGGCGATGCAATCCAAAATTTAGGACCCTCCCACACAAGACCATTACTATATTTAATGCCTTCTTCAACACAAGCAAAGAGCTGTACAGCTCAACAATACGGCATGAGACAGGCTCTGGTGACTGTCAGACGAGGAAGAGGTGTGTCTGCGCTCACCTTAATTGTGTCTTCTGGGATGTGCTCCAGCTTGTACTCTGTGCCGTACCACTTCTCCACCGCGTCTGTCTTGCCTTCAAAGCTCTTGGAGATCACAGCGACCCTGAGCGACAGAGAAGGGGAAGTAATATATTCCAAGTTACAGCCAAACTGTCACTCTTTAGAGACTCAGAGTTTTGGTGTAGCAGCCGTGTGGGAACAATATCCTGTGGAAAAAAAGCACTGGCCTGTATGTAAGATGGCGGCCATGCAAACCCTTCATACACATTTCTCAGTGTGGCCTGTTTATGACTGCCAGTGCCCGACATACACAGCACAATATTTAGAAAACCTCCAACATTTTACAGGCAAGTTTAACCTTTTTTTTTTTTACCTGGTATTTTCCGGGGTTAGGTGGCTCAGCACCATGCCAATCAGGTCCGGTCTGAAGTCTGGCATCATGTAGGGAGCACTCAACACCTCCTCCACTGGGTAGTCTTGCTACAATCAAGATAGGACAAAGATTAGCAGCTGGCTAGGAGAGAGTTCAAGTGGGAAGATGCTGGGACGCTGTTCCGCTACGCAAAAATCCATTACAATTTTACCGCCAACTATAGAGTGCTGAAGTGAATACATCAAGTGCACAATTATGTGTGTAAAAGGCATAACCATCAGAACCAGCATATGAACCATAGAGCACTCCCCATAGAGCCACCAACGAACTAGGGCTGGATAGCTCAGTTCGTGAAACGCCGGTAGAGTATCCCGGAGGTCACAGGTTCAAACCCCACTCCTGTCAATTTCTTTGTTCATCTTTATAAAAAAATAAGCTGACAGATTTGGGAAAACTGTCAAAGGTTTTGACTAGCAACTTGGACTTGAGTCACTCTTTTTGTGACTTCACTTGTAACTACCAGCTGTGACATGAGACCTGACTTGAATTTGCAAAAAAAAAAAGGCTTAGCACTTCACTTGGACAAATTTGGACTAGTTTAAGTAAGAAGCTACTCAGGCAACCCAATAATTTTTTAAATTGGGCCTATCAATTTATATCTTGCTTGCAAACAAAATCAGACTTCGTTCGGCTGGCAGGTTCAACTTCTGATTTCGAGTCTCGTCTACCCCGCTGATGCATGATGGGGATGAAAAATGTTGGCCTTGACTTGTACTTGGACAAAGAGAGTTGTGCTTTGCCTCGTATTTGTATCAACTGCCCTATGACTGGACTTGACCTGTGACCAAATGACTTGTGACTCAACTTGACCCTTGGAGAAGATATGACTTGCTGCCAACTCTGATCACTTTCACTGGGGTATTCTGAGACTCACATGCAGCATGCTGGCCAAACGGGTGACGTAGCCTGCCGGTCTCTCCTTGTCCTTGAACTGGAACTTCATGGCGTCCAGGTCCCGGCACTCCTCATGAACCCACTCCTGGGGTCCTGCCTGGCGTAAGAGATTCAAGTACTGGAACATGTGACCGATGATGTCGTCCACGTGGTCTGAAGTGAAAGACAGGAGACATAAGTCAAAAACCTCCTGGATTTTCACTCATTTAAGCAATTACTGCTTACAAAGAATTCCTATAGTCACCTTCAGTGTGCAGCTATGCCCAGGTTTGACCATCTCACGCAATTACTTGATATATTTGTGCACATTCTGGCAAAAATTAGTTACATAAACTCTGCCATTGCACATTTTAAACTTAAAAACCAGTGTACAGTTACGTTTGTTAAGAGAATCTGGACTGACTCTCTTTGTTGAGGGTCCCCTGGGACATTTTGGACTCCTCAAAGTAACCACTGTATATGTGCGGTCTCA